TCAATGCCCGCCGTCGAGCCGCCCCTGAGAGCGTCGCCTCCGACGCCGGCGGCGCTGCGTCGACACCGTTGTACGTCGTCGATTGAGTGTGAAGGTATGTCGGCGTCGGCTAATTACGCGGTGCACGTGTTATTTATGGCTGCACGCTTCCGTTGTGTTATTTATTGTCTGTACCGCCTCGTGGGCGACTGGGGACCGTGAGAAGCGGCCGGCGGCGGGCGGCTGACCCCCGCTGCGCTGTCAATCGCTGGAATGTCCGACTTTAAGCGCCGATGAACCTGTGCTCTGCCGCGCCGCTTTGTGCCGCCGTGATCGACTTTCAGCTCCGCCGCAGATACACTGAGCGCCGCCCGGCCCTCCCCGAGGCAACCCGCCGGGCCAGGTCGTTAAATAGTGCCCGCGATGCTCCGAATCGGCGAGATGTGCGTACCTCGATTGTGGAATTCACGGCCAGATGGTAGCTTAGTCAATGGGAGATGTTTGAGTTACACTGTGTTACGTTCGCTCGTCTGGGTCGCCGCTATGTCGTCTATGATTTGCTCTCTTCACTCAATCACAATCCTCATGTTCTGTGTCATGAATTAGGTGTGCGATCTAGAAATATACAAGGACAATTGTACAATGTTTGTCTGATTGAATTTATTGATGCTATGCAATTGGAGGAACAAAATAATTTGAATTTCATAGCCTCAAAAATCGCTCTTATTAGGTAAAGAAGACTCTGGTTCGATAGTGCTAATCAGTTAAATGACAATGGCCCCGACACGTTCGTATAGGTACATTTATGAATTTAACTCAATTTCATTCAAATTGATTAGTTATGCGATAACAAGCTATTCACATCTCAATCACAAAAGAACATATCAATCACAGCCGAAACAGCCGCTCTAACTACGCGTCTTCCAGCCGCCACCCCCATTAATTCCACCCACCCCATTTAGCACAAGCCACCGCTATAACTCTGCCCCCTTGGCGGCGCTACTGCCGGGGCTGTAACCCTGCGCCCCTTGTCCCGACCCGTCCACCAACCCATCGCTCGTTGGCCGTCACCGGCAGCCCGCTGTCGTTCGGCGCTGCTGTTCGCTGCTCGACGCTCGGTTCCCGGTTCCCGGCGCTCGGCGGCTCGCTCGGCCCGGCCGCTCGTTAGGCGCCGCTGATGAGCGGAAGGAGACCGCCTCTGCGCCGGGCGCGTCCTGAGAGGCGCAGAGAGCGCCGGCCGGCCCAGGTAGCCGACACCGATAGGCAGCAATTGTGGCCGGTGGTGGCGGCCGACACCTAATCAGCGCCCGGCGCCGCCTCGACAAACAGTCCGACCACACCTGCAGAGCCGCCGGGGACGGCCGGGACCCGGCGGACGGGCGGCGGACGCGCTAACACCGGGCAATCTGTGGCTGCAGCTCAGTGCCAGCATCCCGAGCTGCGGCGGCACGGACGGCCGCCGGTGATCTGCAATTTCACCCCACCATTACCGGGCGGCGCGCGAGCCGCGCGGATAATAATATCGAATGACTGGCGACGCTCCGGCCGCAGTCAGCTTTCCGCCGACGGCGCGTTGCAGTCTCCGTGTACGGCGGGACAGTATACCATTGCAGGCAGATGGCCACTCAGAGACTGCAGCGCTGCGGCGAGGGTCTATCACTATTTATCGGACGGCGTGAAGTGGACTGATGGCTACTGTTGGATGGGCCGAGATAGAACGTATCCTATCGATTTAGAATGGGAGAGGAGTTGATGACTGAAGTGCATGGAGGAGTACCTAGTGTTAAGCAAACGGCAGATTGCAGGTCGTAACAGAAGGACGGAAGAGCCGATGACAGAACCCATGTGTAACCACCTGCCTGCTAACTCTTACTTTGGTTCCGTGAAAACTGAAACAAACCATGTAAACAATTGATAGAAAATGAAAATGCGTCTGAACCAGCGAGCAAATTGTTGAAACGAAATGCAAAATAGGTATGACATTGAATGACTCTTTATCCGTAAGGCATAAGTAGGTTCGTCTTGAAATACCGCAAACCATTACATTTATAACTTCTTACCGCAAGCCCACCGATGATTTTCAAGCAGGCCACGTGCCACACCTCTCTTTAAACCCGCCCCGTCAGTCCACGTGCCCCGCTGAGCCACGCGCCTCCGTCCGCCGTCCGGCAGAGCTGCTCGGCGCCGAGATGTTTGACCAGCGTCCGAGCCGAGCCTGTTTGAGAGTGGGGCGGCGCTCGGTGTCATCTGAGCCCACACGGGTGGACACTGGGTACACGGGGAGGTGAACCGGGTCACAGCGGGGGTGACTGAGCCGTGCGGGTGTAGCGAGTGACCGGCCGGGACGCCTTCGGAGGGGCACGGGGAGGTATATCACATGGCGTAGGGTAGACCGGGGCAAGTCGCCCCGCCGAGGTAAAACGCCTCACCGATGTTTCTCGGAACTGGCAAGGTTCTGGAGAAACATAATCTCTTCTATAAAACGTGCACTATATGATCATTATTTGAGCAGACTGGAAAGAAATTGTGATGACTCTTTAGGGAGATATAGCCAAAAATGTGTTTTTTGAGTGATTTTTATGTTTTGTTGCCAGCTTATGCATCATAGCGTTCTTTTATGGTCCACATCAGGTTAACGACTTTTATGTATTTTGAACAACTTTATCTAACGCTTACGAGTATAATGCCGGGTTGGTTCGTGTTAAATTATGCCTTGCTGGAGTGCAAGGCGTAGTTCTCTGACCGAACTACGTGATGGGGTAAAACGCCCCAGTAGGTCGCGGGGCAAAACGCCCCATGGGGCGTTTTACCTCATGTGTTGTTCGGACTACCCACTTCCTAATGTTCGGTAGCTGGCTAACAGTAAGTTTCTATGCATTTATATGTACTTTTCTCAGCAACTGGATGGCAAAGGAAGTATTTTGTTAACATTTCAATCGCATTAATTTATCATTTGGCCTTATGAGGCAGGTGAAAAACCTGCTCATACAATAGTGTCATAGCTGAACACCTGATAGGATGGAAGGAGCTAACTTCAGTGCCGTGCTTCCCAAGGTCTAACAGACCTCTCATATAAGATTTAAGTCAACTAGCTTGTTTAATCTTTAATCTAGAGTATGGGGCTTCTTGCCCCAGGCCGTGGGGCGTTTTGCCCTGGGGTTGGGGCAAAATGCCCCATTTGCAGTTGCTTCACAAATCACTTCCTAGCTAGGAGTCCGATCATAAGTGAATGAATTTGAAGGGTGGAATTTAAAGTAAAATGTCCAAAGAACGCATTGAGCACAACTTTGGCCTTCCAGGTGATGTGGGACAAAAGTTATGTAGCAAAATAAATTATCTGGGGCGTCTTGCCCCAGGCTACCCTACTGTCCTTATGCCTTGATGGACCGTCTGAATGGTCAGCTTTACCAAAGCAGTGTCAGATCCGTACAGGACAGCCTGCTGAGTGCATGTGTTCGTAAACACTCAATACTTGTGTGATATAAGTGCCGTGCGATTCTCATAGACCAGATTGAAGAAAATTGAGCTGACTCATTTCGTCATCGATCAAAAGTGTTTCAGTTTTATATCACATAATCCGTGCTGTCATCATCAGTCGTGCCCGACCAAAGGCGCGCTCCTACACTGCATATTGTGTCAAGTCCTCTTGTCAGTGCTTGACGATGACAGTTTGTCCTCCGACGACGACCGACTCTCTGTACCGCCAAACCGACAGGCAACAACAAAATATACTCGATTGGCGACCTATCGACAGAATACAAACCATGATCATTACGCTGAAAACGATTCACTACTTTTCCAGCTCTGTCGGCCAGTGCGCAAGCATGGACAGTGGACATGCCTAGCTGGCTGTCCGTATCCAGCCTCTTTCCAAATTTCTTCTAACGCGAGAGTATCGCTCCATTAGCTGTGAACGGCGCGACCGCTTTGCCATACCTACCCCTTTCTGTCGGCTCTTGTTGTGGACTGAGGCAGCTTCTGTTCAGTATCTGAAGCTGGGACTGAGTGTTCGTGTGCTCTCACAAGAGCGGACGGGGGGGGGGGGGAGGCGGAGTGGCCTCCCGTCGTGCGGGTGAATTGGTACCGCGGCCGAGATAGCTGGTCAGTCAGACTGCTGATGGAAGGGTAGAAAGGCGGGAGAACGGATGGATAGACAGGTCCGACCAGAGGACGATGTCAAACAGGAGGAGGGCGGAAGGTTAAGGGTTAAGTAACACAGAGGGAGGACAGGAGGCACGACAGCACAACAGAACCACCGAGCGATATATCATTGGTGCACTTATCTAACCGTGTCAGAAGAAGAACAAAATGATTTTCATAGGCCAGCAAATATCATTGTCAGCAGTGACGTTGACAGATCACACTGATCGAATCTCATTGATGGACCTTAACTCCCGGAAAGGCGGAACAGGCGAAGGATAAAATATCACAGATCCTTAAAATGACTTGCAATGTTTTTCGTTCCTCGACGTCAGATTCAGAGTTGGCCACATTCAAGCACACCACCAGCACACGAATTGCTCGCTCGTGCCACCAAACCAGTCGCCTTCATCGACTCTAAATCGGCCCACTGCGTGCTCTACCAGCCTGACTGACGATCGGTAGAGCGATTCTCACCCCGATCCTGATCAGCCCCCCTCCCCCCCCCCCCCAGCCACACGGAGCCGAGCCGAGCGTTCACTGAGCTCATCAAACGGGACGGCCGACCCCCGGCCACGCTTTGTTTGCCTCTAATAGCTCTAATTTGGCGTTGAATAATGAGAGCGCGGCGTCCCGGTGGCCGGGGCGGCCGCTGCGCCGCGGACAGATAACATCGCCGGAGCCGAGGTGTAGGGAGCAGATGTCGGCAGGGCGCTGCCGCTGCAGCCCAGAGGCGGTCCCCGAGAGAATCAGGAAGAGGAGGTGTAGGGAGCAGATGTCGGCAGGGCGCTGCCGCTGCAGCCCAGAGGCGGTCTCCGGTCCCAGAGAGACTCAGGAAGGAGAGGAGAGGGGAAGCACTCCAAAGCAGTAAAACACTCGACTGGTGGAACGTTAATGTGATGTGTATTTGGGTACGGTCGAACGAGATGACAGTAACAAAAACAGTTCATGTGACCCTTCGACGCGCCAATAGAATTCACGTAAAGTATTCGGAATTTGTTTTGTCGTTTACGCGTGGAAAGGGTCATGTGAACTGCGTTTTATTGATGAGACATTGTTCATTACCAGCGCAATGGACGATGCATCAATATGAAGGTGACACAATGTAGCAACGCCCGGCAGCCTCGGGCACAAGAGCACAAGAGCACTCCGCTCCTATAAAACCGGTACCTCAAAACAGGACTCACGTGACGAGTTCCTAGTGCTGTCACTTCATTTCATCACCACAGCAGAGGCTCAGTCTATTCAGCACGAGCTAAAGTAACATTATGACGATCGACCAAATTTCAATAACAATTCCTTTGTGGCGACTAAAGGTCGCTTTTCTGGGCACGTGACATACAGGTACGGACTGCTTCCACCGATCGCTCGACACAGGTCTCTGCTGACTCGGCGGCCGGTCAGGAGTGTCAGATTAGGTGCGGTATCCGCGGTTGGCCCCGCTCTGACCATACCGTCCGCCGCCGCCGTACCCCTGACCCCGTCCCGCGGAGTCGCCTCCCCTGCCGCCGCCCGAGCGGTACCCTCCTCCCCCGGTGTTGTAGCCCTGTCCGCCGGAGTCGGTCCTGTAGCCACCCGAGCCGGTACTGTAGCCGCCGCGCTGCTGTGAGCCGTACCCTCCTCCTCCTCCGCCGCCTCCGCCGCCGTACCGGGACTGGGAGCCGTACCCTCCGCCTTGTGAGCCATAGCCGCCTCCTGAAGAGCCGTATCCTCCGCCCCCTGAGCCATACCCTCCGCCTCCTGAGCCATACCCTCCTCCTCCTCTTCCTGGTGAGCCGTAGCTGTTTCTTCCGCCACCGCCTCCGCCACCGCCACCGCCACCACCGCCGCCGCCGCCGCCATATGGGCTGTAGCGATGGTCCTGAAGGGGAACGATTGACGTCAGAAATATGCCACTGCGGCAGAGGTGTCCTGATAGACCCGAAGGCAGGGGCGGAAAGGGAAGATACCGAATTATGCGAATTCCATTCCATCCTGACTCTGATTTGTTGCTTTCCTGGCTCAGTATGTACACAAAGCAAAATGGCTGACAATATAAATTTAGACAAACGGATGATCCAAACACAAAACTTACCGTAAACAACATTACTACTACAGTAAAGAAGTCCGCAGCCGACTCGCGCCCGACAGAGACCTCGAGTCCAGCACTGGTCGCTACGTACCCGACTAGAGTAGGATGACCGTCCGTCCCGCTGGTACCCGCCGCCTCCGCCGCCTCCACGACTGCCACCGCCGCCACCGCCGCCCCGACCGCCTCCTGAAACAAGGATACATATATGATCAAGAGAAAAGTAAGGATTAACAGCAAATGATGTCATGGTTCAGCACATAATGTCTGGAAATGATTGCTGCCCTCAATGACGACCTAGCACTCTGGGGGAATACACAGTGAAATTGGCCATCGTCATCAATATTCAACGAAGGTCACACTGGATTCATAGCTTGGAACAATCCGGATTTTTAAACTATCACGTGTCACGGGTTAGGTCCACAGTAGGGGTGGCAAAATGTGGACCCGAGCACCCGGTCCAAAGAACCAGTCTGGACGTTCCTGGAAATTTTTCTGACGGGTTCAACCGGGTCCTACCATAAACTATACATCTTGCACACTACATATTATTGCAAAATATGAAGTGAATGAAAAGAATGTTTCTTTGCACACAGTAGCTCATGAGTATTCCCAGTGGGAAATAGGCTGTTTTACATGATGCAACTAATGATCCCTACAAGTAGTTTGCATTAATTGACTTTTGGGGAACGGGTCCAACTGGTTCAGATTCCAACTAAAACCGAGTCCGACTGGTTCGAGAAATGTCCAGCCGGGTCTGGTTCGAGTCTGGTTCCCAAAATTTTCATCTTTTGCCACCTCTAGTCCACAGGATATTACAATGGTGACTTGTTTGCCGGCATTGCCCCCATGAACGATCTCATCTCAGCCGTGCCTGATCTGACCGAAGACTTTTACAATATGCGATCATGCCACCGCTTCACGGCGGGGACGAGAGGAAGGGACAGCCAACACAGTGTTATGTGGTGTCCGTCATTCATGCGTAACCATGGTGATTGGTGATTGATCGTGGCTTAGCGCGCTCACATAGAACGATCGTAACAGCTGTGACCGAGTCCAGAGCAGAGAGGAGATCGCATTAGCGCCGATAGCATACTGCAGCAGAGGTGGATAAAAACACACGGACACGGCCAAAGCTGCGACACAGTGCGGGTTGCTGCGAAATGTAGGCGGGTCCCGAATACACTGAAAAAATCTAACCCAAGGCCGGCGAGTAAACCGATGTTTCACGGCTACCCCTATCCGCAACCATTTTTAACCACTCTCCCAGGAGTAGTGCTAGGTCCCATTGCGGTCTAGTCTTACTTGCTCTGAGCGGATATAACCGCTGTCAGCGAACATGTCCGCTGAGAGCATGGGCATTGGGCACGACTACACTGCAATGGGACCTTACTGTATGTACTCCTGGGAGGGTGGTTAAAAATGGCTGCGGATAGGGGTGCCCGCGAAACACCGGTTTACTCGCCGGCCTTGGGTTAACCCGCGCCCTGATGGGGTCTGCCGAGCAACGCGGTCTGATGGGGGGGGGGGGGGCATTTTGACCCTCCCCTAAGATCTCGAGAACCACGCAACATAGCGACAAGCGGCAAACGGCGTTGGATAGCCAACGGGGAACTACCTTGTGACCCAATTTCATTGACCTCGGTCAAACCGATGACGTCACAGGTCAGGTCAAAGGTCGAAATTTCACCGTTTACAGGCATTTCAAGAAATGCGTTGTAAAATCGAGTAAAATGCATTTCATTGAAAATCATCGATAGGGAAATGTTCGTCAAACACACATTTTGCTATTTGAGGTCACTGATACCAGGTCAGGTCACAGAGGTCAGGTCACTGAGGGTCAAAAATTAAAAATATCATGTGATGCATGTTTTATGGTCCATTTTATATGCCAAATGCGATTATGTGGGACAGGCAGCCCTTGGGGTCAGTTGAGATTATGTTTTGGTGAAGGTCAGGTCAAGGTCAGGTCAAATTAGGTCAAATTTCATAGTTGATATTTTTGCATAAAATGGGTATCGACTATCGATTCGATGCAGCTCGTCACGAGGAGTTCAATGGTGGTCTCCGTTTTGCGCCAGGTGGTCTAAAATTGCTAAAAATTGAGTTCAAAAATTTGACGTCATCAATTTTTAACAGTTTTTTCGCTATAACTTGGCCAAAAAAGAGGTATCGTCTTATCTAAAATTTGGTATGTAAATCAAAGAGCGCAGGGACTACCACATATATTACGGTTTTTCGAAATTCGAAAAAATTGGAATTTTTTTAGTTTTTCTAAAAAAATCAATTTACTATTTTTGGGGGTGAAAATCCCAAAATTTCGGAAATCTGAGATAGAAGTTTTGTAGCGCCGTCATTTTCTACACAACCATATAAATAACTTTAAAATTGCTTGTTAACTGTAGAATTGGTCAGCGTTTCAAGATGTCATGTTTTTTGCTCATTTTTACTCGAACATGACCTCAGTTTGACCTCAATAACTCCTGATCCGAGGTGACCTGTGACTTGAAATTTTGTGTGAAGGTGTCAAATTGATGCCCGGTAAGGTACCCAAAATTTGGCGCCGCCGATTTCTCGCTATTTAAGAAAAAACACAGGGGGGCCAAAATGCCCCCCCCCACATCAGGGCGCGGGTTAAATTGTTTTCAGTGAGTAAGCAATGGATTTCTAGTACTTGACAGAAAATCTATGTGACTTCCAGCGCTAATGGTGATCTCTGGCCGATACAGGTCGCCCGTGGGCCGTGAGCACATCAACAGGAGACAGTCTTGGACACGGAAAGCGAAGAAGGGAAATGTTGCCGATGAGGTTCTAATGTAGGTTAGAAGAAGAAAGGTCTTGACGAGACACACTGCAAGAGCGAGGAGAGAGAGAGAGGAGAGAGAGAGGAGAGAGAGAGAGGAGAGAGAGAGAGGGAGAGAGAGAGAGAGGGAGAGAGAGAGAGAGAGAGAAAGAGAGAGAGAGGTAGAGGTAGAGGTAGAGGTAGAGGTAGAGGTAGAGGTAGAGGTAGAGATAGAGATAGAGATAGAGATAGAGATAGAGATAGAGATAGAGATAGAGATAGAGATAGAGAGAGAGAGAGAGAGAGAGAGAGAGAGAGAGAGAGAGAGAGAGAGAGAGAGAGAGAGAGAGAGAGAGAGAGAGAGAGAGAGAGAGAGAGAGAGAGAGAGAGAGAGAGCCGGGGAAGGGAACCAGGACCCGACACCGGTCTCCTAGTCCCCAGCCCGGAGCGTCATCGTTGCGTCCGCGCGGCCGCACAAACTCATAAGCGGCGCGTCCGTGACGGCTAACCAGCTTAGGTCCGATATTGGCAGTTATTAGCGGCGTCCCGACACGCCGGCACCAGATCGGCAGTGACGTCAGGGGCCATCCGTTGGAGGGGATTATTTTTCCTTGTAGCCATTTATTACAACCTGTTGAAGTTTTTAACATTCGACGCATATGTCCAACCATCCAACGAACGATTTTAATTCGGCAAGAGAACACCGAAACAGGACACATCAAGGACTTAATACATACCTAAACATGCCAGTGAATTTGATGTCATGAACTTAGCTCGAGCTTTGAGCTTCGCTTTCAGCTATTCCACATCGTTGTTGGAGGTCCCGATTCAACCTTTCCAAACCAGATAGGATAATACTTCTCCCATTCCACGGCATGGATCCTTGCCGAGTTCCCACGCCCAGGCTGGAGGTATCGTCACCGGACGAACTGCGATCACCTCCGCACGGTCGGGCGGACAGGACAGAACAGAGCGGAGGCCAAAGTGGCGCAGCGGAGGCCAAAGTGGCGCAATATTACACCTGAGTCGACAGCGACAATTAAACGAGCAACAGGCGCCGGTCGACGGACGTCGGACGACGGGCAGCGACGAACGAAGGCCGACAGGGAGCTGTGCGGCGTGCGACAGGCGGGCGGTGCCACGGGGAATCCGCGATACGCCCCGATGAGCTACCGATGGCCAGTAGGTACTGGTGGAAATGAGGCAGCGTGGTGGTGGAACACCGGATCTCGGCTGGAGGCCAATGAGGCGGTGTGCCGAGCGGCGAGCACCCGCGCGAGTGTTTAATACCGGCTGGACCGGCGGCCTATGACAGGCGTGAAATGACCGGAGAGTAATGAACAGGATGTAACGACAAAAATGGTGCTGGTAGCGATCGACATTTACCGGACTTATCAACTTGCCTCGCAATATTGCGATACAGAGTAGTTAAAAAACGTGTGCCCACATCACAAATTGGTCGTGAGCTGTGAAATAAAAAGCACTGGGTAACATTAAAATATGACACGGCATAGCGCAGCATCAGTGAACTAGCTCAAACGTCCCTCCACAACTCTTCAATGCATTGGACGAGACTCATGACCGGAAAATGGACCCGATGTTAGCGTCTACGCACCAACGAAATTATAAATTGCTAGGAATATCGCCGCCGCCGCCACCACTTCCACCTCGGCTGCCACCGCCGTCCGTCTCCCCGCCTCCAATAGCGTCGACGGCGTCCAATCTACCGCTGTGCGCTACCGCCCAATGACCCTTCCTCCCCGGCAGCGCCACCCTGCCTCTTGAAGCCACTCCAGGCGCCGCGCACACGGCCCATATTGGCACGCCGCGCCGCCGGCCGCTCGCCCTTATCGACACGCGGAGCGATTGCGCTGGAGGGCCTCTCGAAAATATAACAGACCTGAATTCAGCTGTCGCGGCCAGCAAATAATATTCATGTCACCATTCGGCCGGGCCGCCACCGGCGCACACACGGATGATTTCGCCGGCCGTGGTCTCAAAATTGCCGGCGAGCTGGTGTGTTGTGGCCCTAAGTTCGGATAGGAATGCCAGATACGGCCTGAACTAAGAACCGGCACCTTCGGCTGGCCAGTGACGAACCTGGGTTAAATAGGTAAGTGACAAAAGATTTGCAACAGGCTCCCCCCCAAAAAAAAACACGATTTTCAATTGGACATTTTTTGATCCGATCCCCGATACTCAAATAAACCGTTGCATTTTAGGAGAGCATGTGCGATGAAGCTGTGAAAACGATAAGCCAAACTATTGTGCAGGCTCAACTGACTCGCCAAGTTCCTAATGTCTACCTGAAAGCTGTATTATTGCTGCAGCAGTCCAGCATCAATTCAGCATTATTGATTCCGACCAGTTGAAGCTGGTCCATCGATGGCAAATACCAAGCCAGACGTGAGAATTAACTCCGCAAAGTGGCCATCTTAACGTCAGACCTGCTGCTGAGAAGACACCCAAAGAGCTCTGATTGAGCCGTGGGATAGTGACTCCGAGTCTCAGGAGTCGGCGGACTTAATATCTAAAACCGCCGGCAAGAAACTTTCGATGAACTTTAAAGAAACGGCATTGGAAACTCAGTACGCTTGAACACGGTTTGAAGGGCAATTCAACAATACATATTTGGCAAAATGGCTCAAATATTTCAAAACAAGCTGCGTCAAGTGGACCAAAGGCTGTGCTAAGGCACGGTTTTTAGTCACGTTACTGAGAGCCAGAACCAACTATAATCCCCTACGTGCTTGTATATGAGACCGAAATCACTGCTATATAAATTCACTTACTGCAATATCAACTGACGCTCAACTGAAAATAACTTCGGAGACTAATACAAAATAACTTCAGTCAGAGAACTATACCAGGATAATTCTCAATTCACAACCTGTCCCAATATCAAAGCCGAGATATGCAGCATCAGGCCAGAACGAACCATGTCATTCCAGTTTCACCCAGGGGCGGCTCCTCGGTCCTCTCAGCCATGTTGTGCCTCGCTCCCCGGTCTATGTCGCGCTGCGAACACACCTCTCACGGGAGCAGACTCCGGTCGCTCCCACCACTGCGTACGTCAGTTCATCCATCCTTCGGCCGAGTCCAGCAAACAGCTGCTCTCCAATGACCCTCCACGTCGTCTCGAGACCTCCTCAGAGCCTCATTACCCGGTGGCCGAGTGTTTCTCCACATAAACATGTTTAGTCGCCTCTGAGCGTTCACACCTCACACCAGCCCCGCCCTGCCGGTCGGCCGTCCTCCCAGTGACGTCACACTCCTCTCCGTGACGTCACTGGTCGGCAGCAAACAGCGGGACGCGGCGGCGTGAGCGAAAGTTGGCCGCCGGAACGACAGAGCGTCAGGTAGCTGCGGCTCGCAGCTCTCCGCAGAAGACACTCGTCGAACAATGGCGCGTGAAATGCGACAACAAAACACTCGGCCGTCGCGGCGACTGCACGCTGCGGTGACGATGCCAGGCGGGGGCGGGGACGGGGGCGGGGGCGGGGCGCCTACTCGAACCAAACATGGGACAGAGGGGTGCCGAGCGGCGGCCTGCACCCGGCCCGGGAGGTCCTCAGAGGCAACACCGGCAGCCAATTGGTGGTTAGAGAGGAGCGCTGCATGGAAAACAACACGCCGGGCGGGGTGGGACGCGAATACAGACAGCTATGCCACCGGGAGTAGTCGATGGACTGGAGAGGGTGGTCAGGGGGAGAGGCGAAATAACCCATCGAAAAGCAGACCGAACCAAACCGAAAACAGGCCGGTGCTTCAACCTGTCACCGGTGCGGAGTTATCTCTCCATCTCACAAACGCACTGCGGGGGAGACGCGAGCGGACAACACTTGAGTTCTAGCGTGCGAGAAACACTACAGCTGAATGACACCCAATGTTCTGCTAAACGATGATGATGATGATGATGATGAATTTGGATTTGGGCGCCCCACGAGTCGTGGAGCACTCGCCCAACACGCAGCAGCCAAATCAGTGTCACGATTGTGTCAAAACAATTATTTGCTTCACATATCTCATCGGTATCTGCTTCGGTAAGAATTTGGACATCTCTCAGGTTGAAGGTCTACAGAAAGTATGAAACCCGACTGTCGCTTATGAGTCACGAGCCATTTACGAGTCAGTTCTAACAGTCATGGGACCCACCCCGTTCTCCCGAGCTGAACTCACCGTTGTAGACGCCCTGCCAGTTTCCGGGCGGGCCCTGTCCCATCAGACTGGGTGGCCCGCCCGGCATCAGCGGCGGTACGCTGTTGTAGCCGGCGCTGCCGTCACTGCGCGACCGGTGGTGGTGGAACCTGGCGGACGAGGTCAGGTCAGGTCAGGTCAGAACACGCTGCCGTCACTGCGCGACCGGTGGTGAAGGAATCTGGGGACAGGTCAGGTCAGATCAGGTCAGGTCAGGTCAGGTCACAGTACCACACGCTGCCGTCACTGCGCGACCAGTGGTATTACAGTCGGTGACACACCAGGGAAATAAGCTAAAATTAGAGCGCTCTATTTATTGCTCCCGCTACTTCACCGTCTCCCATAGGGTCCTGTGTTGAGCTGGTGTCGAGGCTCTAAAAATGACGCCGATTTTTGCACCCTTCTCACGAAAACCGCTCGGACCGCCTGGAAACTAATTGTTCCGCTCTAAAAATTTCATGATCGACGGAAAAATGAATGAGGAAAAGATTGGTCCTGAAATAATTCTGAACTCCCTGTAGAACATATCGAAATATGGCTGCAAACTAGGAGCATGTCAAAATCGACAAAACAATACAAATAAACTTACCGGGATTTTTTTATTTTCCATGCATCTGTATATGAAATCAGTCGGTTTTTCGGAAAGATTATCTTCTGTTTAATAAATAATTCCACAATTGCAATCGAGAAAAAAAAACATTTCTGCTGTGACAGCAGTTTTGGCATTGTGCCAGTCGTGCCAGTAGTGTGGCGTGCGCGGTGCTGCGTGGTCGTCGGGACGGAGTTGTGAGTATTTTCGGTGTTTTAAATGGTTGATGGCCATTTGAACCAGCTTTATATTATTTCCTACAAATTTTTGCATCAAATTATTGCTTTGAAAGACCATTGAAACCCCTTATCTCTTCATGAAACACGATCATATTCATCGTCGACGAAAATGGCGCGGGACCCCATGTGCGTTCCGATCGAAATAAATCGTAAATTAAATAATATTCGATGATAAGTATCATATTCTAGTGACACATTTTCATAAAATAAGGCATAAACTTTGCAAGGAAGTCAACATTGGATAATTGGATTCTTATTTTGCTCACATATCCTTGTGTAGTCAAATGGCTCAATTGTTAGATAAATGTAAGCATATGTTTTGGCTTGATGTTTGCTGTGAAACCACCCAGCCACTTGCTGGTTGAGTGGTTTTGATAATTACCTGATAATCATTTTTCCTTTTCCTTAAAAGAAACTAAAATTCTTTTAAAAGTAATCCATTTTTAGGAAAGGCGGCTTGCTCATTGACATTTCATGTTCTTGTTTTGTTATTGCTGGCAGTATTTTGATACAATAATGCAATATGAATTTTTTGCAATAATAAAACCTAAGACAAACCTAGTTAATGCGTCAATCAAACACCCAACAGAAAGATTGTGAGTCCTTGTGACGTGAAGTAGAATATTCTATGAATGTGTTATATAGAATATGCCAAATTTTAAATTAATTTATTATTTGATACTGATAGCTGAGCATGTGAATTATGCAACAATATAATTTCATTTTCTGGTTTTGAAATAGCCGGCAGTATTTTACTTCAACAAATGTAATATACATGGAATACATGTTGTTATGTTATGTTAAAAGTTTAATAACAGCAAACAGAAGGGGCTGTTTCAGCAGATAATGTTTGTACCTTATGCATTACCTTTCTTTTCTGCAGGACCATGCTTCCGCTGGGTGGTCGACATTTGCCTCCTGAAGAAGTTGAGCAACATGAAGACCACCAGATGAGGTGTCTGCAGTTCATGTGGAACTCTGCAGACTACAAGTGTTATGCCAACCACAACCAAAGTGCTGTGATCATGGAGGCATGAACCTCATGACAACACTTCAGATTTGCAGTTGTACCAAAGTGTGATTCAAACCACCTGTGGCATCTCACTCAATGTGTGAACAGTGTGATCATTGTGCAGTGTTCAGCTGCAACTAAGACATTTATTAGTGACTTGTTTTGCAATTAGCCACCAAAAGCATTTTTGGGCTGGCTGCTGTAATTTGTTGTGCACTGCGCAATAGTGGTAGTGTTTTGTCACTTGTCAGGTTGTCAGTTGTGCATGTTGCATGTTTCTCTTCCCTCGGCCCTCATTATCAGTTAAGTGGTGAATTGGCATCACTCAGTCTCCCCAGATCTCCATTGACTGTCTGTCAACCACCTAACTTGAGATAGTATTTGCTAATAGTGTCAGAAAAGAAGTGATTGTAGACATTTTTAGGAATATGAGCTCCGTTTCATGCGTGTTGCAGTGGTCATTTTGTCACTTGTCCCATAGTGTAATAAATGGAAACTGTTGTTCCCTTTTCAAGGTACTCGCGGATGCAGAAAGCGTTGGGCCTAATTATTAAACGCACCCTTCTATCAGCGACGCACGAAATCGACAAATATCATCCTTTTTAGAGCAGGAGGAAACGAACACTTGTGAACATAGCTGTACCTACAACAGTGCATAAGGAATTGGAATTCTGGGAGTTTTTGAAATTCGGAGAAACTCAAGTTGTCGACAGGTATGCCCCCTTGTACGTCAAAGACCGCCTAAAAAACAAACGTCTACAAATGAAGGCAGTATTCGTATGTTCGTTGTAATTGCAGCAGCCTAGCAACATGCATTGCGGTCCGATGGCGAATTACACTCGTGCTAAAAAAACTATGCCGGTAACTGCCAACGTACTTAGGTCGTAGGTGAGGAAAGGAAGGGTTATGTCAAATGTCAACATCAAAGAAATGGCTTCATCTGAGCTGTGCCTATTGTACATAATTCAACCAATCTATGCATTTCGTTTCTTGCAATCTACTCATGCTTTCACTCCAGCTTCAGAGTAATCATCCCATATTGTACGATTGATTTCTATGGCAGTTCGGAATTGCTAGCCACGTCTCACCTCCGTCTGGTGGCCCCGCATCGGCCCACTCGGCCGCTCTAAAATTGACTTAGGGAGGAGGATGGTGGCTTTTATTTTAGCTTCTCCGCTGACTGCGGGGAGCGCCGTCGCCGAGGTAGGAGCAATAATTAGCTTATGTTTGGGACTAATTTCCACGCTTAATTAACATTTTAATGTTATTTTAATTAATTCATGTTAATCTTTGACGCATTCTCTTTCTATTGATACCATCCACCGGTCTGAGAATTACTGCCTTGCTGCGTAAGGGCCGATAAAAGATCACGCTTTTAGGGGTATCTCTTCAACATGGGGCAGGAGCAATAAATAGAGCGCTCTACTTTTAGCTTATTTCCCTGGTATGTCACCAACTGATTAGTGATAAAAAATCAGCTCATTTAGCTACCCAAGAGCTGCAGATGCCAACCACAGCTTATAAAAATATTAATATTTACTCAGCGATATGATTTTGTTCATCGGGCTTTTGGCCATGACTACTAAGGCCATTTCGAACTCAAGTATCACCAAAAACCCAGATGTTCTACTTCGATCTCCATTCTCTACTGATCATGTCCATTGTGAGGCATTGTCCATGTTATGTCACTTCAGCCGGGCATGGTCGCCATCGCAAATCGTTCCACTAATCCCGTGTCTATCGGCTTGGTGAGCGGGATCTATGGCGATCGTTAGCACACCAGCGTCGAGTACCATATCGCCATGCGCCTGAGAGTCCTGGTACACCCTTTACCAACGCCTGATCGGGCAAGATCAAGATCAAGATGCCCCATACTTCCTGGTAATTGGCATCGAAGAGGACTGGATAATCCTTGAGGACATGCCACCACGCTAATCACAAGCTCATGATGACGGTGCATGCTAATTTGTTGACCGATCCCGCGTCCAAGCAAAAAATCGTCAAGAAGGAAACGTGATGTAACATATGATTGGATTCTCAATCATGCTAAAAGGCAGCTAACATCTCATAAATGGCCTAATAAATAGCTCATGAATCGATTCAAAATCAGGCGTTATCGGCCAGTGGCTGACCCATCGATTCTCAGGCCAGCCCACAGCAGTGTCTGTATGTATTTGTCCGGGCTGACTCGCCGGGCCAGGCCGAGCCAGGCCAGCCCGACTCGCCGGACCGAGCCAGGTCGCCCGGACACCGGGCGCGCCTCCCGCCCCGTGTCAGCCGTGTTGATTCAGATGACGACCCACGGCGGACAGCGGCCGGCCGGCGGCTGTATGTCGACCAGAGCCTCGCCCGGCCGGCGGCTGTGTGCCCAACAGTCGGGCGCGCCGTCACCGCGCGGCGAGGTGTCGCTGAGAGCTCTCTCCGGCACCCCTCCCCTCTCCCCAGCCCCGTCCCCGCTCCTCAGAGTGGGGGGTTTGCAGTGGGACCAGCTGACACTGCAGGAATGGTGGGCAAAACCGCACACTCGGGAGCGAGAGAATTTGTACAGTGTTTGGGTGGAGGGTGGAAGGAAGAACGAAATGCGATCAGAGGGCAGAAGATACGAGTATGTTTTACCAGCAAGGTTCATACCTCGTAACTCATGCATAACGTAAATGAATTCAACGTTGAAATGAATCAACACAAATGCATGATGGTAAAAAATGCCAACGGCTATTCAGCGTTGAATCATTCGACACACCAGACGCTCGCAAGTCGGCGATCGTCATCCAACCCGAACAAGTATCAACCCTCGTGGTCATCAATCCGGCCACGATCGATTTAAGAAACTCTCTTCAACGCACTCAGCTGCGCCAAAAACGCTTACACCGGCGCGGTCGGCAGCAGCAGCTCGCCTCTGCACCAGGCAGCAGCACCGCCCGAGCCGCGCCCGTCCAGCCAGATATAACTGTCTTAGTAAACGGCCGTCGAATCGGCTGAATAGATAATTGCTGTGCCACAGAGTGCCCAGTCATGCTCCTATACAACCAGCACAGCCGCACATTTACTGCGAGTGCCACTCGTTGACAATGACGCGGATAACTCGGCTGGCATTGCTCGGTGGGCAAACCACTCAAAGTTCCACCGGTGGCACCGGCGGTGTCGAGGCAAACACCGGGGCCAGGACGGCTCAGGACGCAGCGCTGGACCTGGCGTGACTCGCGGATACACAGCCGGGACCTCATATTGAGCAGCACACATATCTGGTCTCCGGCGGCTGCCGCTGGTGTGAGCGGCAGACGGTGGGTGGAAATCCCAACCCCGTGGTGGCCTGAGTAAGCACAGACGGAGGTGACAGGGCAGGGACGGCCACAGCAGAGGTAGACTACCTGACAGTCCAGCCTGACAGGTCATCTGACAGTACGGCGTGACAGGCCACCACCTGACAGTCCGTCCAGCGGGACGGTCATGCCGGTCGGAAGGTGACAGGGGTGTCTGGATTAACATGATGCTATTCCTGACTGATGCGGCAACTTACTGCCGGTAGATCTTGAAATCTGGCACTGCGCGAAAGCGCGCAGATGAAGGTAGTGCTATACTAAAACCACAAACATTCAGCAATTAATATACCACCCGGTGTATGATGATGGTGCGATTCGTGACCACAAAGGAACTCGAAAGCGGTGACGGGTCGCTGGGCTGACTCACTGGGCCAGCTTTAGGGGAAAACGCCGACATCTAGCGGACGAAGGGGAAGTTCTAGTTGATGGCGTAAGCGGATTATAGGCATTTACGGGATCTGGCGTGGGTACTTTTCTCACTATCGAAGTCAGTGTTCATTTCACAAGATTGACAGATTCCTGGCAGCCAAAATACTGTCGAACAAAGTCCTGTCTCCACCACCAGAATCTTGCAAATGTGCTGCCTCGCTGCTTCTGGTCACAAACTACCAATCCTCCGAGCTTCCAAATATTCTTTTTTTTTTAATTTCCTAACAAGCCTCTTCCCAAATAGGTACTACTCATTTCCCGGCAGCATCCATTATCCCCCTGAACCCATTCAGTGTCCTCCCCCCTCCCACCTTCCCGCGTCCCACCCGGTCTTACCCGACCATCCAGTGTCCTCACCCTCCCACTTTCCCGCGTCCCACCCGGTCTTACCCGACCATCCAGTGTCCTCCCCCTCCCACCTTCCCGCGTCCCGTCCCCGGTCTTACCCGACCATCCAGTGTCCTCCCCCTCCCACCTTCCCGCGTCCCGTCCCCGGTCTTACCCGACCATGCGGTGACCGGCGGCGCCCAGCGATGCCACAGTGTTGGAGCGGGCCATACCGATCTGGGGCCGCCAGCGCTGCTTGGCCGCGGCGTCCAGGTCCTGCGGCTTCAGCACACGAGGCGGAGATCTGACGGAGGGAGGGGCCACATGTCAGGTCACATGTCAGGTAATCAGGTAGTAGGTCACAGGCCGGATGACGAAGACGCGTCGGATCAGCTGGAAAGCCACGCAGAAAAGAAGAAAATTAAATCCAGAAAAGTCACCGGCGGCATTCGGCACGCTTTTGGCAGGGAAATGAAGCCGATCCCATCTTGCGGGCGCTCATTACTTAGCTGTAAAAGATAAGCGATGAAGTATCCTATACTCACATGGCACCGGGCAGCTTCTTGGCCGGAAAGACGAAGCCCTCCGGGAACTGGGGGTCCTTGTACCGGCATCTGTAACCAGGGAGCAAACATGACAGTCAGGTTACATCGAACTTGAAGGATTGACGTTTGTGGCAGCCGCTTTTGCTTAAGCTTCCAAACAGCCCGTTTTCAATAGCCAATATGACAGACAGAAGAGCCTAAAATGTACTGCACAGAACAGGATTAAAAGACATAACCGTATTTCATCGATTGCCATGCCCAGGTTACATAAACAGTTACTCATCTGGCAAGTTGAATTTCAACCAAGACGTTGAGATAATACGTCACCCTGAAATACCCCTCCGCCCTCATACCCGTTCCCCGTCCACCACCGTATATCCACTCACGTGGCCACCTGGTTGTTGTGGAAGCTCTTGCAGAGCGGTATGGGCGATATGACATCGGATCCCTGGTCTATGAGGTCCTCGGCGGGCATCAGTGTACCGCTCATCTTACCAAACAGCTCCGGGTTGGCCTCGACCGTCTCCTGAGGAACGAACGACGGGACAGGACTGAGGCCAGGTCGCGTCTGATCCCAGGGAAAAGCTGGCAACGGCTCAAGAGCCAGCTATGCGACATTTGCAGACAAAAAAAAAAAAAATCGAGAAACGTACCCAACTCTAAGATAATTCATACACCATCCATTTTTCGACACAACAGCCTAACAAAAGCACATCTTATCCATACAACATCAAAACAAGTGATCGTCCTGCTCCCATCCTCCTCTCCCTCAATCCCCTCTCACCACGTTGGACTTGTACATCTCCTGCATCACGGCGTAGCCCGGATGTCGACTGCCGATGAACAACCGGTCGTCGCCGCGCACGTTCCTCCTCTTTTCGTCCTCGGTCAACATGTGATAGACAGACTTCAGCGCCGCCTTCAGCCGGACCTCCGACACGAACGGCAGCAGCGCCACGCCCTGCCACGCGAACTTCTTCCCGTTCAGGTCGATCTTGAAGTCCACCGGGTAGAAGTCGATGATGGGTGAGTGCTGTGTGGAAAGAGAGAAAAAGGGGGAGTTGTAGATGGCTGATGTTGAAGCACTCCACAGGTAGTTGATACGTTGACTGCAAAATTAGGCTGATAGTGTGTGTGTGTGAGTGAGTGAGTGAGTGAGTTGAGTAACTTAGTGAGGTGCTTGAAAGAGTGAGTACTAATAGTAATTAAGTTTAACCTACACGTCTAAGGGCTCCCATGTGTTCGTTATCGCAGCCTGACATTGCTCTGCGATTTCCAAAATTACCACGCCTCTCGCCAGCCAGCCAGCTCCCCTACCGCCACCTACCGGGTCCATCATGAGCTCTCCCCAGGGCTCGGGCACGTGTGACCGACTGGCAGCCGGGAACACGCTCATTAGCTGTTCGAGCGGCTTGAACGGCGCGGCCAGCGTAAACTGCGGCTTCATGTCGCCGATATTGACAAAGTCGGAGGCGAACGGGGCGTAGTGGTAGGGAAAGTACCACTTCCATGACGCACAGCCCTGAGGGGAGAGATGGTGCGAGTTAGAAAACGGGAAGGCAGATACGAAGAAACACAACAGTTCTAAGTTTCATGAAAAGTTTACAGACTATAGTTTGCAAGTCAAGTGAGGCATAGTATTTCAAGGCAGGCACAACTCATTCAATGACTAGGTATACCACAGGCGGCCGGGTTTCTAGAGAACCTCCATTATCAGACAGTTTAACTTTCGCCATAACTACCATCAACGCACCACATTCCACAGTCAGGAAGATATTACACAACCAACAGACCACACAGTAATTTCCTCATGAGCCACAATGTCATACTGGCCCGTCTTACCTGATAGTAGTAGCGGAGCACCCAGCACAGCCCGAGCACGTACTCTCGGGCCAGCTTGTGCCGGAACTCGATATTGTCCTTCATCACGTCAAACTTGGACTCGTAGTACCTGAGAGGATGGTGCAGTGTAGCTCAATTATGACATGATCTGGATGGCCCAGTCATTGACGCTCAAAAGAAGGTTGCTCAACTCAATGGCTGAGTTAAAAAGACAAAAAAAAAGGCTGCAAATGACATTCACTGACTGGGTAAAAGAGCAGAATATTTTAGATAACCGTCAAACAGCTCGAAAGTATAGTCGGCCTGGTCTTCACATAAACATGCGTCCTCTGAGTAGCCCCACAGAGGTTCAGTCACGCTTTACTGCTATGCTGAATCAATAATCGAACTCAGCTTACGACGTCCCTCCACTTTAACGTTGGCTCCGTGATTACTCCTGTCACGGTGGTAACACACCTGTCCTTGAATCCGTCCTCCCACAATCATCCCATAGTCCTCCCACTCACACTACTGCCATAACTGTGCCGTACCTGTCCTTGAAGCCGTCCTCCCACAGTCGGACCTCGTCGGGCGTCTCTTCCTCACTATCCGAGTCGTCACGGGGCCGCTTCTGGCCGGCTGACGCAGACTGAAACAAACACTCAAAGTGTTAGACAGTAGGCACCTCTGACCTCTGAGAGACAGCAGACAGACCATTCGAGACGCTTCTGAACGGCAGAGGCCGACTGAATGACGCCAAGACAGCACCACACACCGGTCAGCGACGGATCAGCTCGACACACATGACAAACGCAAAATAGTGATAAACAACAGCCATCCGCATTGACTGGGAAGAATGACGGTAAGACCGTAAGCTTGGTATACATACTGCCAACATTGTCATGGGACGGCTAAGACAAAGCAGCGTAGCCGCTGAGCAGACAATTTCACAAGTCATTTCACAAGTCATTTACATTACTGCCCACAGCAGCTGATTGTGACCCAGCATCACTAGTGTAAACCTCTGTGAGCTCATCGAAGCATCCTATCGCCAACTCACGCTGTCGATGATACGGTTATTCTCGGCCTTGAAGTCGGACTTGGCGGCGATCTGCTCCATCCGGATCTGGTACGACTCCTTTCGGGCGTTCTCCACGGGCTTTACCGCGCCGCCGACCGCCTGGTGAACGGAGGTCACGGGTTCAGAGGAGAGGGCCAGCCAGAGGTCAGGGGTCAGAGGCGAGGGCCGATCAGAGGTCAGGACTAAAAAACAACACGGGACATACCAATCAAGAACGCGAGACACACCAATGAGCGTCAAACGGTATCATTTCTTTTATCACCTCAGGAGTCCACCAACTATCGACCACTGAGCTAAAAAGACGGACATTTCAGCAAAACGTAAGCTTAAGCTCATTCGCACTTTTCTTTGCTCTGAATGAAACACCAGGCCTGAAAACCGACCCCACCTAAGCCCAGCCCTTCCTTATTCCACAGTCCACCGGCCGCACCTGCGGAGCGAACTGCCCTCCGAGGTGTTTTCTCGCATCTGCCTCGCGCTTCTGGCGGCGCTGCGCCTTGTTTCGGGCGCGGAACGAGAGCTCCCGGCGCTGACGGGACTTAAAGATCTCGTCCTCCATCTGTCCAAGGTCCTGCATGATGAGCTGCACTCGCTGCAGGTTCACCCGGCCGCTGTTTGTGAGAAAGCCCTGCAAAGTATGTGTGGGGAGGGGGTTACTCGCTGCAGGTTCACCCGGCCGCTGTTCGTCAGAAAGCCCTGCAAAATTGGGAAGGGGAGGGGGGGGGAGTGTCACTCCCTGAAGGTTCAAAAACAAAACAAACAGGGTCAAAAACCCTGTAAAAGAGCAAGGGGTGGGGGTGGCTGGTAGGCGTGTCATTGCCAAAAAGAAAAGAAAAGAATGTACTGTTGCACCTCCAACATGAACTGTGATTATACAAAACTTTGACCTGTCAGCAGCTTCCGCTTCAAAACAAACAACCACCACTTCCCAGACGCTTCACCCTAGCCGCAGCTCCATCAGCCCGAGCAAGCAGACACTGACCCCGGTCTTGTAGACGGTCTGTTTGTAGAGGTTGACCAGCCGGTCGATGGCCCCCTCGCGGATCTCCAACGACGGAAGGTGCGGCAGAAAGTCGTTACCGACGAAAAAACACATAAACACCCAGTCGTCGATCGCCCGCTCAAAGTCGTACTGAAAGAGCGGAAACGAGACGGCGGCGAGTCAGAAACTCAAGGATCGACAGCAGCCGATTATTCAATGAACGAATAAAGCCGACATGAAAAAGGTTGTTTTGCCAGAAACGGAAAAAAAACGAAATAGCTGAAGTACTGAAGTGTACAGTAATCACAAAGCGATACTAGTCAAAATAAGCACGCCTGCATATTATGTGGCCATGACAAAAAAGAAACTGATCAGGATTCTTACAAAACGTTACATAGGTAACATTACATCAAGAATCATGGCGGCCAATTTGATTGAAACAACCATCCCACAGCCAGCAATCTCATTTTCAACATCACTGTTTCAGCGGGCCACCGGCGGACCGACCTGGAAGGGCAGGTTGGGCATCTCCAGCTCGCGCTCCAGGTACTCTCTGAGCACGTTGAGCCGCACGAAGATGTACTGGGTCTCGGCCACCACCGGTAGAGGCTTCTCGTCGTGCTCGCCCTGCTTCTCGCGCACATTACCCACGCACTCCTTCATCTCGTGGCCTGGCAGAGGACGAGCGCGGCGTCAGGTGAAGTTCGGCTTGTGAATAGTCATTGGAACAGACACCAAGGCACCAGACTTTCCAGACCTTAGTCGGATAGCAATTAGAATCCATGTTGAACCAGCATTAAAAGCAGTCAGCAAGACGGGAATCATTTTACCGAATCCCTCGCCATCCTCCCTGGCTCCTCTGACATGAACTGTCACACATGAAATCATAAACCTCTTCCTTACACTGTCTGATACCACAAAACATTTAGGAATACATTCATTTCAACATGAATCACTTATATTATGATAGGTTGCTTTACGAACAAAATCTCAGAACAATAACTCACGCAGACTATTGTAAACCACGCCCTTTCCCCACCCATTCCACCTCCCAGGCCTCCCATCAGCACGACAGCCCGCCGACTGACCGATTTGTCCGCAGATCTCGCACGGTCTCGGCTGGTTCGGTTTGAACTCCTCCCTAATGATGGTGAAGTTGGGCTCGTGTGTGGCCAGACCCAGCATGATGAGATCGGCGTCGGCGCCGCACAGCACGTGCTGCGTGTTCGGGTCGTGCGACGGACTCGCTGTAATGGGGGAGGGGTGCAGAGGCCAGTCGGGGTCAGGTGGGCCTTGATGGGTAACTTATGGCCTGAGGGCTACCGGCTAGTTGGGGCGTTGAGGGCCGCTGGTTAATTTATGGCTAGCTGAGCGGACGTCATGAATAGGTCATGCCATTGCTTCTTCAGCATGTCACGTCAGTCAAGAGTCACATGTGAGTGCCGCCAGCTCGTAATCGTACATCAAGGCATTCAAAATACAAAAATACAAAAAATATGTAGATTGTATAGCTTCCCCACTAAGCAGCATACGTCCCATTATCCCAAGGCACTGACAGTGACTATCACTCGCTTAAACTGACCCCGCTGCCGGCGGATGTAGTCCATGATCTTGTGCTCTCCCTCTCCGGGCACGTTGGCGTCCGACAGGATCACCTTCAGGTCCTTCCAGCCGGCGTCGTGGTTCAGACGCTCGTGCACGTAGAAACACAGACACTTGCTCAGCCGGTCCATGAACGGCGTGCCCTGGGGGAGAGCGGGTCAGGTCAGAACGCATGTCATCTTAGTTCTTACACCGTCCAGCTCACATGTGACCACTTAAACCAGCATGCTTTATTCATAGATGTCGATTTCATTCATATCGTTCATCGATTCAGCATATAAACACTAATTCAGGCTGCGTTTATCGGTTGGTAATTCTTACCACCATTTTTCCTGAATAAAAGTCGGCAAATAAAACAACTTCACTTGTCAGACTGAACTGCTCCCCATCGCCGTCCGTCCGCCGACACTCACCGGTGTGATGCAGTTGCTGTCAAAGTGTTCGCCCTTGGGCTTGTCGGGCGGCAGCTCGACGCCTTTGCTGCGCAGCTCGGCCTTGATTCGCGCCATTTCCTCCAGCTTCTCGGCCGTCTCCTTACTGGCGCGGAAACGGCGCGAGCGCTGCTGGTTCATCTTGGCGCGAGGAGCCTGGGCCGAGGGAAGGGAAGGGGGGAGGTCAGCTAGTACGGTGGAGGGAAGAAGAGGTGAAGTGCGATTTAGCACCAGAACGCATGTCGATTCGCAAGCAACTAATTTAAGAAAAGCTAATGCACAGGCTATGCAACATGAAAAAGGCCAGATGAGTCCCTGCACATCACACACATCCAGTACTCGACTTAGAGCTCCGCCTTTGTCAAACTACTCCCGAAATCCCACTCCCGACTTTCGAACTGCGCGTTCGTCACGCACCGTGCCGTCGATAGCCATGTAGAGCAGTTTGCGCGGCCGCACGATCGACATCATCTTGTCGATGGCCTCGAAGATGGCGACCATCATCTCGTCCTCGTTCTTGGGCGCCGGTCTGCCGGACGGTACAGGGAGGGGGATTGTAATGGAGGTGATGTTCACACTCGAGGTGGGGGGCTGGGTGAAGGTTATGTATGTAATGATCTGAAGGTAGCTCTGGGAATAAACTGGGTAAATTAAAGGCTCTGACTGGTACAATACATTTAGCAGCCTATGGAAAGTGATGCCATGAAACCTCTTTATGAGGTACACATGAATATTCATACTGTGTAACAGAACTCCCTGCTTTGTTGTTAGACAAAACAGTAAGCTAAATGAATAGGCACATGTTAGTAAGGTGGAACAGTGAAAAGCCAGTTTCAACCCAACTCATAGCCAGAAGTCACTAAAATACATATGCGCGAAACAGACTCCTCAACAGTCACCTCTTGGCCTCGACTGCACTTACTTGTCTTCAGGGTGGGTGCAGGGGTGGATGATTCCGTTCATGTCCAGGTAGAGGTTGTCAAACTCGACCCCATTGGGGTTCGGCTGGCTGATGTCCACTGGGATTTTGACACCATCAACCTCACCTGGCTGGAAATGATTGTAAGACAGAGCTTGTTAAGCATGGCACAAAAAATTAATCTAGAGGGCTCTCATCACAGGGCAATAGGTAGCTGTTTGAAAAATATAACTGGGTTCAAGGAAAATGCAAGCCAAGATGTACCTAACATGGTCTTCAGGCAAAATGAGTCTACATTCACAATGCCAATTACTTGCTTCCCTATTTGAAGAAAAGGTGTTACCTTTTACAGGCAGACTGCAAGCAGTACCAGTACTACCCATGATCACAAAATGCAAAATACCTGCAGAAGATGTAGATGAGCCCAATATTCTTACCTTTTCTTGCACACAGTCAACAATGACTGATGCATATTTTCTGGACAGCCATCTGAAGAATGCTGGTACTCCCATGATGGGAGACTGACAAGGTACTAAGACAAAATACTCCTATTAATGATATAATTAGGTAGAGTAGTATTCCTGAAAGTAAACATGTTGGTCAACTGACTGAACATACACATCTTTTTTCTTTCTTTCTTATGCTACCTTTTCTTTTTCTTTTCTTTTTACTACCATACATAACAGTCAAAAATCATACCAATACGGGAACACTTATGTATGAAGGCTTTTGCATTTTGCTTTTAACTACATACCAGTTCACATAAATGGTTTAGAAATGGAGCAGTGGCCAATAATTCTCATAAGACCTTTAAAACATCCAGTCTTCTGCTGTCTAACATTTTTCTTAACTAATGATCTCTACAAGACATATAATTATGGTCTACATTCTGATCCTCCAGGGATCATGATCACATACCTCTGGCAGTACACCTGTCCTGAGATAGCGATTCAAAGACAGAAAAGAAGCAAACCAATAAGCTGACCAAAGGTGTGAGGTGGTGACCAGAAATGCAATGTATTCCACCTTGTAAATAGGACCAAGGAAAAAATAGGACTAAGGGAACACAAACAAAGTATTTACCATATTCATCTACAATAATGCTAAATCAGGAAACATAAGCTGTGTGCAAAATCAGGTTTTGTTTTCTTCATTTCATTCTCATGATTACAGCACTTCACAGAATATTATAGGCACAGGCAGAATATTTCATTTATAAAATCCATTTTGATTTTCCAATTCAAATTTTTCTATGACTTGATATGGATCCTCACCGCTTCTTCAAAAAGGCAGCCAAGAGGACACCAGTGGAGACCAGCCAGTTTGCATTCATAACACAAGCAATCTCCAGAAGCTGGTTTAACGCCTTCTCCATCTGCGTTATTATCAATTGAAATAGCCTGGCACTAGCAGCTACGGCCTCCAAAACTTTAAACCAATTAAAACTGGCTTGACATGCACTGGGCACACCTCGCACACGAGGTAAGAATACAGCATCCCTCATGCAGATGAATAGTCAGATGTAAGAAGAACTTGACAAAAAAGGTTTCTAAAACCTAAAGGCCTCTGGCCTACTCAATTCCCACACTTTGTAACTTCAGTAAGAGAAGGAAAAATCAAAAAGCTAGCTGATCATAGCATTAACCTTAAACCATTAATTCTAACATGTCGTCACATTTTCAACATAGTGGCTTTTGCCAATTTAACTCATTTTTCAGCAGCACCAATATTACATGTGAAAGCCAAAATATTCACAATCTGAACCTATCTTGATCTTTCAAACTGAGTTAGTTCAAGCCCTTAGTTTGAGTTGCTATCTTAAATCAAAATACCTATTTCTGGACATCGAACAACCGATGATATAACAATTGTTTGACATCATGCACAATTTCTCATCATACATATGGCCTTGCATCATACTTTCAATACCAAACCAGAAATAACTATTTTAATTGACCCCAATAACCGGTTTGTTGTTGTTGTTCTGGGTTAGGGCGCGTAGCAGCTTGGCTCTTGCGTCCAACAATAACCGGTTTAATTTACGCAAAATACACAGAGCATGGAAAGCAAATGGCGCACAACCACGCATTTTTTGTCGCAATGATTGCTACCAGATTCAGATTTCCCCCTATACCTGACAAAAGTTTTGATACTGCCGTCGACTTTGAGTAATCTTGGCCAAAACTCGAGCTTCTAACCTTCACAAATAGCATTCATTTATCCAGCGCTTTTCCACACAACAGCTTTGGAAGTGTCGCAAAAGTACAGTGGTCAGGTTAGACACAAGTATTGTTTATCTACCTTGTTGAATGACTGCACTAGGTCTAGCCAGGGTTGGACCCTTGCTGTCGAATAAGATGTTCGCTGGAAACTAATATATCGCCCGTCGACCGTGAAATGTTGAACGTTGCCGGCCGCACAATGCTGCAGGTTGTGTAATGCATACACGTCATATTACCCTGGCTAGATCAAGATTACTTTACTTATAGGCTAGATGGCCTGTTCTGTGTAACTTTGTTAGCCCTTGGGTCGGGAAACCAGAACATCCGAGACGTATGGAGAACAAAAGCGACACTTTATTCATTACGTCAATAAGTTAGCATCGCCACAAAGCAAGACAAACTATAACAGTGCATTTACTACGGAATGTGGGTGTCAATGACTCAATGTGTCCTCCTCCGATCCCCACACACATTCCATATCACAGCGCCGTCGGACGTGCTATTCATTGGTGCACACCGGTGCGGGACGCTAACCGCACGGTCAGTACGAGTTTAGTGCGTTAGCATCGATCTAGACCAGACTTGCCCCGTTCTACGCCACAGTCGCCTACGTCATTCATCATCCGATATTACATAAGGCTTCAGTGTTGAAGGTAGCAGCAGCACTTCAGGCTAAAGCTTCCTTCGGTGGGCTGGGCACCTTGTGTTCGCCGATGGTCGCAAATAGCTCTCGTATTTTCAAAGGTCGCAGTAGTGAACACATCAACCTGCTGAGACATTCCCTTTTTCACTGCATAACACCGGGTCCGAGTATTCTAGACAGCCGATATTTCAGAGCGGGAGTATGCGCCGAGGACCTCACCTACCGAGAGATGACGTCATTCAGTGCACCAGCGTAGTGTGACGTAACTCTGGACACGCGGTATGACGTCATTCAGCAGAGATCAGTCCGCAGCTTATAGACATCGGTGAGAAGTCCATGACCGATACGTCATGGGTCACTCAACTGACACTAGTTAGCAATCAGTCACGATGATCACAATCGTGAGGTTTTTGTCTTATCCCACCATCCCACCAGGAATTCGCCTCATACCTATCCCCTCCCTGTAGCGTCTAGTCCATGTCAAATATCCGGGCGGCGATATCGTCGAGCAGCCAATCCACGCCGGTGACGAGGTTCTCTCCGGTGACGGCCGAGCACGAGACGATCCTCCAGTGGTGCGTGGTGATGGCCGACAGCTCCAGCTGGGCGCGGATCTCCTCCCGGCTCAGCGCCCCGGCCAGGTCCTGCTTGTTAGCGAATACTAGCAGTGTGGCGCCGGCAAGACGCTGTGAGAGAGAGGGGGGGGGGGGGTAGACGGTGGTCAGGGGCCGGCTAGACGTTGTCAGAGGGGGAGTTAGATAGTGATTAGGGTAGGCAAGACGCTGTCAGAGGGGGGGGGGGGGGTTAGACAGTGGTCGGGACCGGCCAGACGCTGTCGAGAGGGGGGGGGGGGTTAGACAGTGCCGGGGCCGGCCAGACGCTATCCGATCGAGGGGACGGTGGTCAGACACAGGCGGGGTAAGGGTGGAGAGAGCAAGGGATGGGCTGTGTTGACGAGAATGAGGTGATGTGAACGGGAGGACATGCTATCTTTTAACCCTCGCCCGCACATGCCATTTTCCCATCCTAGAACGCACATGGGGGGGGGGGGGGTGGTTGACACCCCCCCCCCCGCGCCATTTCGTTCCTGTTGGAGATAGAGCTTAGCAGTAAAGACCAAAAAGATTCTTTGGGAAGAGACGAATCCAATGATACCCAGTTTTACCTTCTCAGGTCAGTCATTGACCTTCCAGGTCAGGTCAAACTAAAAAATGTTGCTGTTTTGGGTCACCGTTGGATATCAAGTGCGCTGCTTATCAAATACCGATGACGATGCTGTTTTCTGGTGCCAAGCCAGCTAGAACCTCTTTGTCACACTATCCGACCAGAATTTTGCTGCTGAGGTCATTTCAGGTCAAGTTAGGTCAAGGTCAATTATATGTGTTTGTATGTCTGTGTGTGTCTGTGTGTATACTGATGTGTGCACCGATTGTTTTTGGGTCCATATCACATGAAATCATGATCTGAGAAGCTTTTACCAAAAATGCAGTCAAAAAACTTCACAAAAAGTAAATTCAGCTTGCCTAAAACGCAATTATCTTAGATGACCTAGGTTGACCTTGACCCTGACCTTGACCCCTGTACATCGTCGAACAACATGTTCCATGATAGGTGGGAGGTAAGACTGGCAAAAAAGGCCGAAATCAGGGTGTTAAAAGCTCACAAGGCCCATGGCAAACGCAAGATGTTGAGAATTGGCCATTTGGGTCATGACATGACCTGAAAAAAACAAGGTCATATCTCCGAAACCAAAAATCACAGAAACTTGAAATTTTCAGTGGACATCAAGAAAGGATAGACGAGCAGCTATACGAAAAATCAGCCTTCTAGCTCTAAAAATGTTGAGTGCAGAGCAGAAAGACTGCCTGGGGGGGGGGGGGGGTGGCAACCACCCCCCCCCCATGTGCAGGCGAGGGTTAACGTCGAGTCAGAGTGTATGTTGGAAATGAGCGGTTAGCGGTGGTGGAACGCTGAGAATCCCCGTGATGGCATATGTGAAGTTCAAAAAACAAACTGTTGAGAACATCATGAAAGTTTAATACCGAACAGTGCGTTAATTTATAACAAATCGGCTCACAGTGCGCGTTAAAAAAACGCCACAGTCCACAGTCCACAGAAAGTGTTGTCGGTTAACAGGTCACAGAAGGAGCCCATCATGCACGGCCACCTCGAGCAGTCCCAGTCTCGGCGCTGGCGGTCCCCGTCTCACCTCCTCCTGAAGCAGAGCGTGCAGCTCCTTCTTGCAGTCGGCCATCCGGCGCTTGTCAGCGCTGTCCACCACCCACACCAGACCGTCCGTGCACTCAAAGTAGTTGCGCCAGTACGAGCGCAGTGACTTCTGACCGCCCACGTCCCAGATGTTCAGCTTGAACCTGGACGGTTGAAAATTATTAAATGGTTGCAGATCTAGCAAAAAAAAGCACGATGGCCTAGCCCGAAATCATTAGAAGCGCGTATGACAAAAAACGAAGATAATGTGATCTGATGTTAGCCACTAGCACGCAGTAAGCATCATTCAAAGCCCCATCAATGAAACACGGGTTCCAAAATTTTGCTGGCTCAAGACATGCCAGGATCGGCTGCGCGGGCCGCAAAATACGGCCGGTGAGCCGCATAACTGACACTGATATGTAAACCTCACGATTATAGGTGGAGATAATAAAATGGCAGCGAGAAAACGAAATGAACTGCAAAAAAGCCAGTGAAATAGAAAGGGAGGCAAAACTAGCAGATAGCCCACTGTAATTCACTCAATTAGTTCCTAAAATAGTGGGCGAGTATGAAGTATCAAAATTACCTTTATCCGTACCTACTGAAGAAAACAGGGTGCCTTCAAAATGGAAAATATAGCTTTGAAGTACCTAGCGATGTGCCTATAAAACATGCACTGCATACCCTTTGTGCTCCAAAGTCTGGATGTTGAACCCCAGGGTTGGAGAGATGGTAGAGATGTCTTCACCGTTGAAACGCTTCATTATAGTTGTCTTGCCAGCATTGTCCAGGCCTCTGAGATTTAGTCAGGGAAACACAAGGACAGACAAATCTATAAAAGAACCACCACACCTTTAGAGGTGGGTGGTACACCTTACACCTTAGCACACCTTAGAGGGTAGAGGAGAGGTACACCTTAGACTTTAGAGGGTAAAATAAAATGTAATGGCTCTCCTGACAATAAATCTATAAAAAAAACGCTTTGTAGGAAAATATCTGCTTGAGAGAGAAACTGGATCTAAAACCTAGGACATTAAGTCCATCCTGATATGTTAAAAGGGATTAGGTAACTTAATGGTGGGCAGTAGAATAGACACACAGGCTGGACTGCCTATGATAAGAGGCCAGTTTAACTGTTTCCATGCCGGTCATTTCCTTTCCTTGGTGACTAGGGCTGCAGTCAGAAGAGCCAGACTGTGCAGCATGGCAATTTTGATGAGATCATTTCAGTCACTAGTCAGTTTTGATCAGTTCAGACAGAAGCAGGGTTGATTTATCAGAGTTCCTACATCATGATGTGTAGCTAAACATATTTTGCATGGGATGGTATAGGTCTATCAATGTTGACAAGCTGAGCTGAGCTCAATTAAGTAGCAATAGCACTTTGTAACCCAGCACTGCCCATACAAGTCATACATCACAGTCTGGGTACCACTGTCTGTTAACCCTCTCCCTTATTGGTGTTTTTACAGCCGCGAACGTAGGTATGGGGGGGGGGGGAGGGTCCGTTGGACCCCCCTTGCCGTTTCGCCCCTGATCGAGCTAGAGCTTCGCGGGGAAAACGAGCGTGTTGCCCGTGAGGAAGCCGATGATACCCAATTTTAAGGTCCTAGGTCATTGGTTGACCTTCCAGGTCAGGTTAATGACCCAACAGTCGGGAAAATCGGGACCTGTAAGAACATCGTAAAGGGTAGCTGCTAAGGGTTTTTTTCGGGGTGCTGATCACGCATATCACGTTAGTTTTGATCACAGGTGATGTCTTCATGCATTTAGGCCAGGTCGGGTTAGGTTCAGGTCAGGTCAGGACAACCAGTAGAGGTCCTGCCGAGTATTTGTAGTAGGTGTCAACCACCTCTGACAGCTTCGACCAAAACAAACTACCTACTTCGTAAATGTCCATATGGTTGCTTAACCCTCGCCGGCCGAGGGGGGGGGGGGCGGTTGCCGCCCCCCCCCCATAGGGGGGGGGGGCGCGGCAGCCGACCTGACTCTCCGCGGCCCTGGATTGTACCATATTCATTTATTCTGTTTACGTTACCAGGTGGTGGTGCCTCGATTTAAGCATCAGCTTTTGCACCACCACCTGGACTATTTGCTTATTTCCATTTTATGTCTAATAAATGTGTTTTGTTGTTTGTTGTTGTTGTTAGGGTTTTTCGCGATAGCTCCGAACACGCTGGCGATAGAGAGCTGAAACTTGGCATACCTGACCTTTGATTCAAGCCGGATCTTTTGACACCAACCGCATTTTTGGGTCAGGTCAGGTCACTGACTTATGACGTCATAAGTGAACCTCTGCACGGTCTTCAGATGTCGCAACTTCGCAACGCCCCAGTGGAGATGTCACAGGGAAATGAAACTTGCAGGATCTAGTATCCATTATGAGTCTCACAACATGTATATCTCGGATTTTTCCTAAAGGTCATATCAGGTCAGGTCATTTTCGTGACCTCCCCATTAGCTGCTTGAGCCGTTGCACCGAGACCAATACACTCGTCACCTTAATTGCTACACGTCCCGCCCTGGTCGCGTCACCGGCCGTCGGCGGCCTCGCAGTGGCCGCCTGGTCTCGGCTGAGAGCGCCGACCGCGGCGGCCGTGCGACCAGGGGCGGATACAGGAGAAAGGAGACGGCCGCCCGACCGACCGGCCCGGCTACACCCGTTCCGGGGAGGGCTGGCTGCGTCTCTGACCCTGACCCCGCACCGCCTGCGGCTGCTGGACCAACTTTAGCCGCGGGCACCCCTGTGAGTGGTGCTGCTCCGCCGCGCCATGGGGCCGCGGTCCCGCCGCCGACTGGGGATAGGGCGCGAGGGGAGGTGGGAGCCGGCGAGAGCGGCCAGTTGGCGGAGCGGCTGAAAGGAGATATTACCGGGCCGACCGCGGCTGACCCAGCGACTGGCGCCCCTCTGACACGCGCGTCTGCTGTCTCTCGGCCGGCTGTCCCGGGGCCGCGGCTGGCCGAGGAGGGGGGAGCCCGTCGCGCCGAACCTGGGGCGCCGCTGATGGGAGAGACCGACCAACAACACTCGACCGGTCCTCAGCCGGCGGCCGTCTCGGCTGGCGCCGGTGCGGCTGCTGTCACCGGCGCGGGCGGCGTGGCGGTTGTCACTCGGCCGGCTGCTAGGAGCCCGCAGCCGGTCGGGAACGGAGACCGACGGAGCGGACTGGGAGCGCCGCGGATGGGGGAGACAACGCAACCTGTGGCGCCTGGTCCTCTGCCGGCGGCCGCCTCAGCTGCGGCCACCGCGGCCGGTGCGCGGCCCGCACATAGAACGCGGCGCGGTAACCGGCCGGGACGTGTGCGCGGCCCGAACGGGTGGCAGTCGCCTGACGTCCGCGGCGGCTTCTTGATTGGTGCGTTAAACATTCAGTCAATGAAACCGAAACTTCTTGAGTTAAGCCACGAACTGTGTAAGAGACGTTACGACCTGCTATCCGTCACTGAGACCTGGTTGAAGCCCAGCACTCCCAACAGACTGTTGAGCTTCCCGGGCTACCGCGTGTTCCGCGCTGACCGGCCCGACAAGTCCGGCTACGGAGGTGTCGCAGTGCTGTGTCGTGACGCGATTGACGCCTCCGTTATTACGGTCCCGCCGGCAGCCAACCCGTCCAGCAAGATGGAGTCACTGTGGCTGAGTGTCGGGTCGGGTCGGCGCGGCCACCAGTTTGTTTTGGCAGCGGTGTATCGGCCTCCGAGACGGACTGTGGCGGCTCTAGAAGCTGATTTCGAAACTTTGGAAACGCAACTGCAGCATGTGATGATTAAATTCCCCGGTTCCAAAGTAGTCATAAACGGTGACTTGAACTGTAATATCCTAGCGGACAGCTCCGATTCATCTCGGCAAACACTTGTGAACTTTCTTAGCATTTACTCTATGTCGCAACTAATTGTCGAGCCAACATATGCTACAGGATCCTTGCTGGACGTGATTATCGTGAATGATCGCGACATTATTAGGAAGAGCGGCACTAGGGTGTGCGACATCAGCCCGCATAAGTATGTTGTCGCGGCGCTTACCATCCCTCGCCCTCGTGCGAAGCCCGCGGTTGTGAACTGCCGGCCGCTAAACCGGGTGAACGTAACGGAGTTGCATGCCAGCCTACATCGGGCAGACTGGCAGGCCGTTTACCGCGAAGGCCGCTGTTCCGACCAGTGGCAGCGCTTCTTGGACATTTTCTTACCTATTCTCGACCGTTTTGCACCGATGAAGAGAGTTACCATTCGAAACCCAGACGCCCCACATGTGACAGAGGCCACGCGTGAGTTGATGTGTCGGCGGCGCGCGGCCCGTGAGGCCCGGCGGGGCGGTGACAGCGGCAGCGCGGCTGAGTACCGATCGCTGAACCGCGCCGTGAAATCCGCCATACGCCGGGATGTGCGAGAAAACTTAGGGCAGCGCATAGTGGAACAGGGCCCGACTTCTGTGTACCGAAATATTAGGCAAGTCATCGGCAATAGCAAGGGCGTGCGTGCTACGCCGACAGTCAGCGCTGATGCGTTAAACGAGTATTTTGTCGGCGTCGGGCCTAACGTTGCTAGGGAGCTTGCCGAGTCGGGTGTGACCTCCGCAGACGATATATGCCGTGTCCCGCGTGTTGGCTCGTGCGGTTTTACTGTTGGTACCATCGATTACGACACACTCAGACGAACGATTGTCGGAATGCGTAACACTTCGGCCTGTGGCATGGATGGTTTATGCATACGCACCATCAAGCTATGTTTCGACGCGATTGGAGTGCCGTTGCTGAACATCGTGAATACCTGTCTGTCAAACTGTGCTTTCCCAGAGGCGTGGAAACACTCCATAATCCATCCTATTCACAAATCCGGTCCTTGTTCCAACCCAGCCAACTTCAGACCTATTTCCTTAGTCCCCGTCATGTCCAAAATCGTCGAGAAGGTCGTTCAGCGTCAGCTCTATGCTTATTTGTCATCCAATCATCTCTTAGCTTCAGCTCAACACGGTTTTAGGCCACGACACTCAACAGAAACTGCATTGCTCAGCGTATCCGACCATATTTTATCTGCGACAGACAGAGGTGATCTTACTCTACTCTGTCTGATAGATTTAAGTAAATGTTTTGACGTTATCGACCATTCCAAACTATTGACCAAACTAGAGCAGCATGGAGTTGACGCTGAATGGTTCCGCTCTTACCTATCAAACCACACACAGAGTGTTTCCATCACTGACCCTGTTTCTGGTCGAAGGTGCCTCTCGCGACCGCTGCGAAACAGTGTGGGGGTGTACCAGGGGTCTGCCCTCGGGCCATTGTTGTACACAGTGTTCGCCAATGACCTGAGCCTCTGCGCGCCTGATGCCCATGTCGTCCAATACGCCGATGACACGCAAGTGCTTGTGTCCGGCGGTAAGGATGACATTGCGGCTCTGGTAGGGCGCATGGAGAGCTCCCTCACGTCTTTGGACGTGTGGTTCAGGGCTAATGCCCTGAAGGTGAATGCCTCGAAAACCCAACTAATGGTATTTGGCAGCAGGCCGAACCTCCGCAGTGTCCCCACGATCGAGGTGCGTTTCCGTGGCGAGACTCTACGCCCGGAACGGAGTGTGAGAAACCTCGGCGTGATATTCGACCCTACTCTGTCATGGGACGAACACGTGGCACATGTCGTGCGTAAGTGCTTCGGAATGTTGATTGCCCTCAGCCATATCCGGCATTACCTCCCTCAGAGGGTGATACCAACAGTTGTGCACGGTCTAGTACTTTCTCACGTTAGGTACTGTATAACTGTGTTCGGTAATTGTACTGGCAAAAATCATAGGCAACTCCAAAAGATTATTCACTTTTGCGCGAGAGTGGTTGCTGGGAGACGCAAATTTGACCATATTTCGGATATTTTGAAAGGTCCTGACTGGTTTACATCTACACAGCTGTCGGATTACCACACACTTTCTCTAGTCCACCGAACACTCCGGTGGGGAGAACCGGCTCCACTTGCCTCACTTTTTATCAAAAGCTCGAATTTACGTATACGACAAACGCGACAGGACAACAGTTTTTACCTACCTCGCATCCGATCGGAGGCAGGTAGACGCCAGTTTGCGTACCGGGCACCGCAGCTTTACAACGGTGTGCCGGTGGAGCTGACTGCCCTCAAGCATGATGCCTTCAAAAAGAACTTGCGTCTTTACCTCAAGAGAGAGTACGAGTAGGTGCTGTTCCGGTATAGTTACCTATCGTCTGTGAGGCTTATTTACCGCTTGTGAAACTTGTAACTTGCGCTGTGATGTTTCTCTTTTTCTTTTATTATGCGTTTTATGTGTGTATGGGAATGCATGTACCTTTTTACCCACTTTTACTACTGTTCAGCGATTGTGACACTGGACTGAGAATAGCCACGGCTCCTGTGGATGGTCCAAAGACGTTCAATAAATAAATAAATAAATAAATAAACATTATAAGTCAAAGGGGAAAAATGAAAACTGCTATTCTGGCGCCGGGAACGATCTCCAACAATCTCAAGCACACAGAATCGTGATTCGATGCACTCCTTGCAAGGTTAGATGAGTCACTTTTGCAATGTTGACCTTGCGTGACGTCATCATGACGTCATCAAGGTCATATTAGTTTTTCATCAATAACTCTTGATCAAATTGAGCTAGCGAGTCGAGGAAGCCACCAATGGACTCAGGAAGACCTGCCGAATCGAATGATATGCGACATGACCTCTTTCGACCAGCTTCGTGACCTGGGGGTGCTGACCTGACCTTGACCTGAGGTCAACACGCCAAATTGACCTGACCCGAACAAAAAGTATATCATTCGACGCGCCTGAGCGAGGCAAACACGATGCTGCCAAAATCGCGGCTCTGCGGCCGTTTGTTGCGAAGTTATTCACCAAAAACTGAACCGTACCTTGGGGCACTTGACCTGACCTCAGAGGTGACCGGTTGACCTAGGACATTAAAATCGGGTACCAATATCTGCGTCTCGTAACGGCGCACACGCTCGTTTTTTCCGCGACGCGCTAGCTCCACCAGGGGCGAAACGGCGAGGGGGGGTCGTACCGGCCCCCCCCTCGGCCGGCGCGTATGTAGAAAACCAATAGGTCCGGCGAGGGTTAATTCGAATTCAGCTCCAAAAACTAGCCTAGACACACGTAAAACTCGAAAAAGTGAGCCGAGGTTATCAAAGGTCAATGACCTGACCTGACCTTCAGGTAACCTTGACACCCACCGTAATGCATGGGACCAACATCATATCACATCATGTTTGAACGCTTGAAACCACGAAAAGACTGCAAACGCGCGGCTAATGCGAGCCGACATACGCCGAATCGCGATTCCGGCCAAACATGGTCTCGAAAAGTAGGTCACAGGTCAAAGGTCGTTTGGGTCAGGGCCAGGGGCATGGAATTTTCAGGGTAGGTGTAAAACTGTAAAATTGATTAACGCGAGGATACCGAGCTTTGTCGCGATCGGCCGTTTTTTACGCGAGTTATTCGCGAAAAACCGAGGGGGGGGGGGGTCCGTTCGACCCCCTCCCCCCGGCCCCCTATACGGGCGAGGGTTAAGGGGCCTTCAACCTTTTTCCCTTCTTAATTCAACCATTCATATTTTCATATCAATATCAATGTAACATTTAGCCCTTAACATTTGCTTAACTATGAAATTCTGCAGCACAATTTCTGGGTTTTTGATCAAGCAGTCTGATTCAAAGTTCCAGCCTGGTCTGTGTGGTCTATTGTGCATATTCCTTGACTTGCTTATAATCCTTGGTCTATTGGATAGCCTATTGTGTATATTCCTTGCCTATTCCTCACCGTACCTATATTCCTTGGTCTATTGGGTAGCCTATTGTGTATATTCCTTGCCTATTCCTCACCGTACCTATATTCCTTGGTCTATTGGGGTAGTGTATCGTGTACCTATATTCCTTGCTGCTTGGATTGTTCAGCAATTATACTGCAATTCTGCTTTGGTGTATGATGCTGGCAAAGGTGTTCATATTATAGTCACCGTGTTTCATATCACCTACCTACATGCAGGATGTAGAATGAAAGGTAAGTGCTAGGGGCTTAAGGTGTGTACACACTTTCCCTATCTATAATATGCAATGTTGTGCAATAGAGGATACAACATCAATATTCTGACTTCCTTCTCTTTCTGCTTCAGCTTCTTCAGAATGGTGTGAAGACCCATGCTCTGAAACAAAATAAGCAAAACATAAATGATTGCATAAGTGTTTGTGTGCCTAATTTATCCCGCGTTCAATGTCTCTCAGACGACGAAGATTCTACGCCGTCCGGCAGATCCCGTTCAAGGTCAGCGGGAGCTCGGCTGCAGTTATGGAACGTGATTGGCTGGACAACATAGAACCTTTGTCATTCGAGAGACATTGAATGCAGGGTTAGACAGAGAAAATACAAAAAAAAATGCAGGGGCATGGCATGGGTAGGTTCAGCACAATCACGAAAATGACATAAATTACATGATTTAAAATAAATGACATGACATATATATCAAAATGACATGATTTCAGGCAAGTGACATGTTCAAATGAAACTAAAATCACTTTTTAATTACCTACCTCAACCTTATTCCAACTGGGAAGTACAGGCGAAAGAAGGACCCCTCTTCTAACTAACGTTGATTGTGCAGATGTAGTTCAATAGAAGCTTGAATAGAAGCCTAGCTCGCCACGCCTTCTAAAGAACAACGAGAAAACAAAAATGATTTTGTCATAATTACTCAGAGCCTGTGCTAATTAACGTCTCACTTGCGTCGTAAATGTAGACGTTTGAATTAGAGCACTTTATAAATTAAATGTCAAAAGTATATTTATTAATTTATTGAGTAATTTTTCAATATTTATTTCTATTATTATTTGAAATAGATAATTGTCTTTCTATTTCTATGATTAAAGCACTATAAGATATCTTAATATCAATAGACAAGCCATAAATCTGTCTGCCGCTAGGTGCGCTGAAAAATATTGATGCCAGATACAATTCCCAAAAAATGTAACTAGAACCCTGCGAAGACACGTGCTGTGTGATATTATAAAATATGCTGGAAAGATCAAGTGTTATTCGATAGGGCACGTTATTAAGATTTATGTGGTTATGCTGTTATTCTCCATCACAGTTATATCCCAGTGATATATTACCTTAATTCCTTGCCTACTGTATCATAGGAAAGGTGATAGTGATAGGCTAGAAGGAAACCTGTGGATTCCCCGCTCATTTGACTTGTAGTTCAACTTGTAGTTGACTTGTAGTTGAGTTCAAGTTTAGGTACTCTGGGTTACTCTGAATTACCAGATATTGATGTAAAAGTTGATGGTTGTTTGATACTTCTGCATAATAATATTTTTCTCCTTTTTGCAGTTTCAAGGATGGCTAAAGGCAAGAAAGGAAAATCTGCAAAAAAGGCAGATTTGAAAAGCAGTAAAAATGATGTTGAAAGCGATATAGCAATTGAAAGCCTAAAACGAAAAGCTGTGTCTGATGAGGTAACTGACAACGAGGACACCCTGCCCCTGGAACAGGATGACGAGGACACCTTGGAGATCCTGGATGAGAACAAGGCACTGGATGAGTACGAGCATGATTCCTCGGACGAGGAGGATGTCGAAAACACCATCGGTGACGTGCCGCTGCATTGGTATGAGGACTACGACCACGTAGGCTATACACGCGACGCCTGTCGCATCCTGCGCGGCGCCTCACGCGGCGAGATCGACTCTTTCCTGGAGAAGGTGGAGAACCCCGACTTTTGGCGCACGGTGATCCGCCAGACCACGGGCCAGGAGGAGAAACTCACTGACGAGGACGTGGACATGATCGTGCGCCTCTCACAGGGCAAGTTCGCCACCTCTGCCGCGGACCCCGACACGCCGTGGGTGGACTTTTTCACACGTGACGTGATGGAAATGCCTCTTTCGGCGCGTCCCGAGCACAAACGATCGTTCGTTCCCTCCCGCATAGAGGCGCTCAAAGTGGCGAAGCTCGTGGACCACATCAAGCGCGGTTTCCTGAAGCTGGACGAGGAGAAGGTGGAGAAGCCGCGCTTCTACCAGCTGTGGGGCGAGGACGGCAGCGCCGGCGAGATGCGGCGCCTGTACCGGCCGCAGCCGGCGCCCAAGCTGCGCCTGCCGGGACACTCGGAGTCGTACCACCCGCCGCTCGAGTACCTGCCCACGGAGGCGGAGCGGGCCGAGCACGAGCGGCGACTGGAGGAGACGGGCAGCGCGCGCCCGCTGCCGCAGCTCTACCACTCGCTGCGCGCCGTGCCCGCATACCCGGAATTTATCCAGGAGCGGTTCGAGCGCTGCCTGAACCTGTACCTGTGTCCGCGGAAAACGGTCACTAAGACACAGCTCTCCGGACCGGAGGAGCTGCTGCCGGAGCTGCCCGACAAGCGCGACCTGCAGCCGTACCCGACCCACTGTAACCAGCTGTACTCGGGCCACAAGAACATTGTGCGCACCCTCAGTGTTGACCCGGGCGGCCAGTTCTTTGCCTCGGGCTCGGACGACAGCACCCTCCGGATTTGGGAGATCTCCACCGGCCGCTGCATGAAGACGGTCGAGTTCAAGGAGCCGGTGACGGCGGTCGCGTGGAACCCCAACCCCAAACTGTCGGTGGTAGCGGCCGCGTCCGGGAAGCGGGTCTACATGGTGAACCACGGCCTGGGCGACCGGGCGGCGGCGGCCAGCGCGGACGGCGTGTTCCGCGCGCCGCCCGAGCGGGACGACACGACGGTGCGCAGCCAGAAGGTGGGCTGCGCGTGGCGGCGCGCCTCCGAGGCCGAGTGGGCGCAGGGCATCCGACTGACCATCAACATCAGTCGGCAGTGCAAGCAACTCAGCTGGCACGCCAAGGGCGACTACTTCGCCACGGTGGCGCCCGACGCGGGAAACACGTCCGTTCTCATCCACCAGATGTCGCGCTGGCGCTCACAGATGCCGTTCCGAAAGACGCAGCGCGCGCAGGCGGCCGCCTTCCACCCGCTGCGGCCGTACTTCTTCGTGGCCACGCAGAACCACGTCAAGGTGTTCAACCTGGTCAAACAGGAGCTGAGCAAAAAGCTGTCAGGCGGTGCTAAGTGGATCTCGAGCCTGGCCATCCACCCGCGCGGTGACAACGTCGTGATCGGCTCGTACGACCGGCGCGTGCACTGGTTTGACCTGGACCTCTCGAAGCTGCCCTGCCACCGGCTGCGGTTCCACGGCCAGGCGGTGCGCCAGGTGGCCTTCCACAGACGCTACCCGCTGCTGGCCTCCTGCGGCGACGACGGCAAGGTCATGGTCTACCACGCCAGGGTGTACAAGTGAGTGGCGGTGGAGGGGGAGGGGCGTGGTCGGGATCTGAACAGTGAGGTCACTTGAAACTGTTTCGCAGTGCTGGCGCTAAATCTTGTCTCTTTTACGCATTTAAAGCTCTGAATATCGAACGACATTCCGGTGACTTATGCTTTTTATGAAGTCATAGTTATTCTTTGCAGTTAATTTGGACGTAAAAAGCGTGTTGTATGTCACTAATTACGAACTCGTATATCGCTGATTACTCATTAATTAAATATAGTTATGTCATACTTCTCATAACATTTACAGAAAACCTATGTTCGGGTACCTATCAACAGGGAAAAATGTTTGCTTTAGACCGATCTTATTTTTTATGGTGCCTTGTATTTACTCCTGTTCATTTTTGCATGTTGCTCGATCGTTTTAACCCGCGCCCGGCGGGGGGTCCTGGATTTCCACGCCCTGCTGGGTGTTTGAACACCCCAGTGTCCCAAAATTATATTTTTGCTTGGGTGTCAGGGGAAAATTGCTGACCAAAAAAGGATGAGAGTGAAAAATTGTCGGTCAGGTAAGACCCAAAAAGAGTGGGAAAATGATCAAAAACATTAATCTATCTACAATTGTGACAGATGCAAAACAACCATTCACGCAATTGCTCCTTCTTGGTGGAATTGGGAGTGGAAAATTGGGCTTGAAAACTGGAGGTGAGAGTGGAAAATGATTTTCATTTGGATGTCGTTTCCCACCCACATCTGCAAATTTTGGCACACTGGAACACCCCCCCCCCCTTCTAACTCGGCTCCTGGGCCACGTAGCGATACGCGAAAGGCGGCGTTCGAAAGAGCGTCAAAAATAATGAGGAAATCACTTCGGTCAATTTTTTGGTCAGGTCAAAGGTCAGGTCACCAGAGGTCATTGAAGGCAAAATTTCGCCGATTTCCAGGTCGAATGTCGACAATTTCCAAGAAGCCAACGCATAACTCGGGAACCAATAGAGCTACAGCGCCGCGGAAAAGCGCATTCGATAGCCCTATTAACGACCTTTCTGAGTAATTTTCTCAGATTTGACCTAACGTCAACGGTTTTGCCTGCAGGGGGCAAAAACTGCAAAAATAGCCGATTTTTTCGGAAACAGTTTTTCGGCAATAACTTTTGACCCAAGCCTTATACGAGCTTACTTTTACCGGCATCGTGTTCCTCTCGTCAAGACGCATAGAATGAACTATAACTTGACCTTGAAAGGTCAACTTGAAAATTTGACCTCAGGTCAAGGTCATGACCTGACCGGAAAGGGTTAAGTTGCATGTCAGTCGATCCGTATCGTCGAGCTGAAGACATCTAAGGCGTTTTCATCGCTCTAGCATGCCTCTATCAAAAGTTATTTGCGAAAAACTGTTAGATGCCATTCGTGACCTAAGATGACTTCAGGGCATAAACAGGGGTCACGGACACCATTTTCATGTTCAGTGTGTCTAAACCACTTGTAATTCAGTGTTTGGGAGTGTTTATAATGTCTTTCGTCCAAAAGAGGCGCATTTCAATTTTCTCCCATTGACTTATAATGAGGAGGTCGCAAAATTGACCTGACCTTAGGTCATCGATATCAAAATTCTGAGATATACATTTTGTACATGCTATTGCTCTTAGCAATCGCTGAAAGTTTCAAAGCGATCGGTCACTCGGTGTAGCTATGACAGACATTGAAACTTTTTATGAGGTGAGGTCACTTCAAGTGACCTGGTGACCTGACCTTGAATGACCTTGGTCTGAAATTTTCAGAACATGTGTAGAATTGATGTATGATAAGGTGTACCAAAAACGGCGGCGCTCCGCGCCGCCGTTTTTGAGATATTCGCAAAAAACCACAAGGGGGGGGGGTGTTCAAACACCCCCCCCCCAGCAGGGCGCGGGTTAAACGATTTCTGCATTGATATCGCGGATGTCTCGGATATCGGTATCGATATTTAATCTTATATATGATCTCAAGCCATTATTGCGGATAAAAAAGATGTCCCTTTGAGCTTTCTAATTCTGATTTCGAATAAATGTGCACTTTTCTGTATTTCTTGATTACTTTTCTGCACTTATTTATCTCCTGTTATACCGTGAGCTAACGCACCGTCTCCCTGTTGCAGCGACCTGATGAAGAACGCCCTGGTGCTGCCGGTGAAGGTGCTCAAGGGCCACAGTCTGTACGACGACCTGGGCGTGCTCGACGTGGCCTTCCACCCGGAGCAGCCGTGGGCGCTCTCGGCCGGCGCCGACGGCACCATACGGCTCTGGATCTGAGCAAGGTCGGTGCCGCGACGCGCAGGCGGCCGCAACGCTTCCGCTGCATCTCTGTAGGTGGCAGCACCCGCTTCTGTTGCGCTAGTGTAGGTAGCAGCACCAGTTGCGTGGTCCTCCGCCGACGCAGTGCTCGGCCCCGGGCGGGGAAAGTGTCGGACGCCGCGCGAACGATTCTGTTATTGTTTGTGTGCGTGCTATGTGAAGACGTTGGGCCTCGGGTGTTTCCGCTTCGGTTCGTGAGAATGGCAGGGTGTGTCTCGAGGGATTTTCTCACCAAGTTGTTCCGGCCAATTGTCGAAGTGCGATCGCCCCAGCGCTCACAAACAAATGACTACTGCTCTGCGGGGCACAATGTGAAGGAAGGGAAATAGGAGTAATACATTTCACATTTGTATGCTACTTTGAGTCTCTTAGCGCTATCCTGTCGTATATCTGTAGTGTCTGTTGGCTAGAACCCTGTTGACGGGTGATGTGACTGGCAATCGATCTTCTGATTCTACCATTAACTCTTTGGGAAGGATTCAAGAGAAAATTAAATAATTGGTCGTGACATTTCATTCAGTTCAACATATCCACAGGTCAGCCAGTCGATCTCCTTACTATTCCATGCCTGTGTGCCTTTCTCCTCTCCGCCGCTCGGCGTTCTATCCATTGGTCGCCGTAACCATATACCCTGGCCGTGACAGCGTCCGTCGGAACTATGTTGCAATTCCTCGTCATTGGTTATTATGAGCACCTTCCTGTCGTTCTGTCCATCGCTACTCAATCAACACCGGCCTAGTGGTTGACGTTGTGATGGGCACAATGACTCTAAAGTGTCCTGAGTAGTGAGTACAGCATTGCCCCGCACGTCACAGGGCTGGTGGGATATTGTACAGTTATTGAGACGGCTAGTAAGTCAGCCAGATCTGGTGATTGATTCTAAACAGATAATTATGGTTTTGAGCATCATATTTATTTTGTCTTTCACGACGCAACACAATCAAAAGACATGGAACACGGACGTCGTACAGACGGATCACACAAAGTAAACTTGCATTTGATAAGAACAATGGAATGCCCGAACGACATTTCAAGAGAGTCGTAGAAAGACATTCGATAACTGCCGTCTTCTAGCCTGATTCACTAGGCCTGGGAGTAGGCCGGCTGGCCGTTGTAGCCCTGGTTGTTGCCCTGGCCGTAGGTGGGGGTATATCCCGGGTGCTGGGCCTCACCCGTGTACGTGACCTCGGCGTTGTTGCCGTAGTCGTTGGCGACGTACTTGACGTGCTGGACGCGGCCGTCGGGCAGGTTGACCGAGTAGTAGCCCTCGACGTTGCCGTAGGCGTCAGCCTGCTCGTTCTGCGAGAAGACGGCGCCTTGGTAGTGGTCGTTGACGGCGTAGCCGAACTCGTACGGGGTTGGCTCGGAGAGGTCGTCGTTTTTGTAGCCGTTGGTTCCGTAACCGTTGGTGCCGTGGGTGTTGGTGTCGTAGGTGTTGGTTCCGTAACCGTTGGTTCCGTAACCGTTGGTGTCGTGGGTGTTGGTTCCGTAACCGTTGGTGTCGTAGGTGTTGGACTGGTAGCCGGAGTCGGCGACGGCCAGGGCCAGAACGGCGGCAATCACAATCAGCTGCGAACAAGGGGAGCGGGAGGCGGGGTTAAAATGACGGCCCATAGTTCCCTCGATCAGTAAGTAGCCTGAGAGGATGTGAAGTTGTTAAATGATTCTATAGTACTCTGGGCCTGGCGTATGACTTCTGGCTTTACCTTTATTATCGGACATGTTTCAGTTTAACTGGACCGTTAGAACCCTTCAATTTGTGACCTGTTCTCCAACAATCACGGAAACTAGACTGTGGCGGCTCATGCGTACTTCTCATCAAGCGCGGCACAACGCGTTTCCCTGGCATACATATTTATTGAATCGTTAGCGGATGTTTTGAGACAATGATACGGACATGCATCGTTGGTATCACAAATGATTTATCTTAGAAGTAATGTCATGGAAGTAACGTAGAAGTAATGTCCGCAGGTATTGCTCGCCCCTTTTTGTATCACGTTACTAATGTGACGTGCAATTCACGTTACTAATGTAACGTGAATTGCAAGTCTCATTCTCTCCAAGTTACAAGTCTGCATTGTCAATGAACGAATAATTGCAGAACTAGCGGCATATTCGCCGGTTCTGGGTCCCTCCTACCTTCATGGCTGTTCGGTGGTCGGCGGCTGTCGATCTGCAGACGATGAATGATGCGGTCAGCGGCGTCGCTGGGACATTTATACGTCCTTTGAAGGTCAGCGTGCACTGTGCACCAGCCCGGGTTTCCGTTATGCAGTGTGGGCCGGGTATGCTCGACCGCCCACCTCAGAACGCGGAACGGCGGGAGAATGGGTGGTATTTTTAGGGACAGATGGAGAAGGACAGAAGTATGTAAAATGTGGGCGGTTCGTAACTGACCAATGGCTGTCCTTGCCTTGTGCAAGAGCATATGTTTTATACGCATTTACCTACCGGAAAAGTGCTTTGTTCTCATCCCCGTGTCGTATGACATATATTTCCGTAGTGAGAGCAAGCTAAGTGGTTCTGATTTCGAAAAGTGTTATTCTTTTATCGTAAGGATTGCATCCTGAAATTTGCTTGGAATGCATGGTCCTGAGTCCCGAATGCTCTCCTTCCGCCCAACTTGGCTCGTTCAGTTGATTGCCATTAGCGGAGCCATGGTAAGACGGCACTGACTTTCCGGTAGCGCACTCCCCCAAAGTTTCCATACTCCAAAGTGTGTTATGAGTTCGCTCCTTCTTTGCTGACTATACCTACACTTGGATACTTTGGGGTTGTTTTTATGCGAGATAATGTTGAGCGGGAGAGGAGTGATCTCGGATGCTATAAGTTGGGGCTGAGGGTATTTAACCCTCGCCGGACCTATTGGTTTTCTACATACGCGCTGGCCGAGGGGGGGGGGGGGCGGGTACGACCCCCTCGCCGTTTCGCCCCTGGTGGAGCTAGCGCGTCGCGGAAAAAACGAGCGTGTGCGCCGTTACGAGACGCAGAGATTGGTACCCGATTTTAAGGTCCTAGGTCAACCGGTGACCTCTGAGGTCAGGTCAAGTGTCCTAAGGTACGGTTCAGTTTTTGGTGAATAACTTCGCAAAAAACGGCCGCAGAGCCGTGTTTTTGGCAGCATCGTGCTCGCCTTGCTCAGGCGCGTCGAATGATATACTTTTTGTTCGGGTCAGGTCAACTTGGGGTGTTGACCTCAGGTCAAGGTCAGGTCAGCACCCCCAGGTCACGGAGCTGGTCGAAAGAGGTCATGTCGCATATCATTCGATTCGGCAGGTCTTCCTGAGTCCATTGGTGGCTTTCCCGACTCGCCAGCTCAATTTGATCAAGAGTTATTGACGAAAAACTAGTATGACCTTGATGACGTCATAAATGACGTCACGCAAGGTCAACATTGCTAAAGTGACGCATCTTACCTTGCAAGGAGTGCATCAAATCACGATTCTGTGTGCTTGAGATAGTTGGAGATCGTTCCCGGCGCCAGAATAGCAGTTTGAATTTTTCCCCATTGACTTATAATGGTGAGGTCACGAAAATGACCTGACCTCATATGACCTTTAGGAAAAATCCGAGATATACAAGTTGTGAGACTCATAATGGATACTAGATCCTGCAAGTTTCATTTCCCTGTGACATCTCCTCTGGCAGTGAGGGCGTTGTGAAGTTGCGACATCTGAAGACCGTGCAGACTGCAGAGGTTCACTTATGACGTCATAGGTCAGTGACCTGACCTGACCCAAAAATGCGGTTGGTGTCAAAAGATCCGGCTTGAATCAAAGGTCAGGTATGCCATGTTTCAGCTCTCTATCGCCAGCGTGTTCGGAGCTATCGCGAAAAAAACCCTATGGGGGGGGGGCGGCACCCGCCCCCCCCTCGGCCGGCGAGGGTTAATCCAGACTCCCGTCAATGTAATTGTCGAAAGTTGTCTCTGGTCGCAGAACAAGTTGTAGGCAGGGACCGAAGGTGATATTGCACTTCCTTGCTTTTTTTGCAATATTTTTGTTTGTTATGTAATGATCCTAACAGCTTGCTCTGTCTGATTAACTGTCCTTTGTTTCTTCCCGCTCAAAGACACTTTTTAAACGCATTGCTTCGAAAAAAATGAAATTTTGAAGCATAACGCATATTCTTAACCATTCGACTATTGAATATTGATTGATAAGAACTGTCATGTTTTTTTTTGCAGTGCCAGCCTCCCGCCACGATGTGAGCAACATTGTGCTTTCGTAAAAATTATATCCGTCCAGCCAAATGTCAGCCCGATAATGTCGATCGCCGGAAGCCCACATTGTCTCCCCCTGCAGCAACCACCACGACGTCTGATAAAGCTGCTGGGAACTGCATCTCTGCAGGCCCTGTGGTTTTAGACTTGCTCTGTTTTATAACATTGTTCTCAGTTTGATTAGTCTTCCTTTTTCATGTCGATCTCGGATTGTTTCCGTCTTGCCGATTCTCTCCACGATGACGTTAAAACCCCAGGTATGTCCACGATAGCTGAATATTGCCGTCTCTTTCTGCAGTAACGGGTCGAAGAACTCTGTACCGAGACGGTGACCTTTGTGGCTGAGGACCAGTCGGCTGCTTGGCTGACCTTTCATATGACAATTGACATGGGATTATGGCTGGCTTTTATTGCATCTTCTGTGTGCGACTGGAGAAAACAACGCATGCGGTTTATGTTGTTGCATCTGATGACATTTTGGCATTTCAATTATCAGGGATTCCTCATTCCAATATGATGAACAACGAACCTGTTACATAATGTTATATTTTCCGCGTTGTAATTCATGCACGCACGTTACAATTAAACGTTATAATACGATGTATAATAGTTGAAGGTATATGCAATCAAGTTTTTCTCATTGTGAATATATTACCTACTGCGTGATAAGCAGGCGATAAGCAGTAAATGATATTCACATGGTTTATACAAACTGACTACCAGTAGATATTGCGCGAATAGTGCCAATTCTTCACATCTTCATTTTTTGTGGATCATTTGCTGAAATTAACCTAATCTACCTGACGGTGTCTGCGAGAGATGAAGTTCTGGTTGGCCTTTTATAATTTGCCTTCCCAGATCAGACAACGGCACATCGATTCCTGTCTCGGCTTTTGCCCTCTGGCTTTGGTCCCACTTCCGTGACACAGGTGCAACTGAACCCGACACTGAACCGATACCTATTGAACCCAGACACTAAACCCGACAGTAAACTAGACACTGAACCAGACACTGAATCTGGCCCCGAACCCGGCACTAACCAGACACTAACCCGATACTGACCTAACACTGACCCGACACTGACCCGATGCTCACCCAGACCCTATACTCCAACATGTTATTAAAGTTCTTTGGCTGATTTCGTATGAAATGAATGACTCACAGCAGTGCTTCATTTTTGTTCAGCACTGAACAATGAACATATTGCTCTCAGACTGCAGAAACCCGCGGAAGCGTTGATATTTGATAACGAAAATGAACCTTCGCCATCATGTACACAGTACAGTTGAACCCATGCTATTTCCTTCGTGGGCGCTCTAGCTGATGAACATCTTATTGTCATGCTCCCAAGGATGCTAGCTACTGGATAAGGATTTCCTCAAACACTAAACACGCCAGATATTTGACGACACTGTTCAGGTTCTGTTCGCGAGGCAGAGCGTGCATGCTGCGAGGGAACATGATGGGAGATTCATAGTGGCCGCAAGGGAATTTTATCGGGAGGTAGTGAGAGTGACCTGGGGCCTACCGCGGCGACGGCCTGTCACGCCTCACAGCTGACTCCTGGCACTGATGACGTCAACTATGACATCACACGGCGCCTTGATGACGCCACTTGGTATCCAGGTGGCTTCACACGTGGTCCCCAGATGACGGCGAATCTGTCGCGCTCGCTCGGGCTCCTTTGAAGGTCCACCGTGTTTCAGAAAAGGCCAGTAACTAGCCCAGACTTACGCCAGAAACGCATGTAGAGACTGGCTGAGAAAAGGGATTGACCGATGATCACGTTTTCACACACTCGTAATCCACTAAGTCCGCAATCACGTGACCGCTCATCTATGACCAATGACCATGCTAATGGCTGCTGCTAGCTGTATAGTAAATCTTGCAGAATCGATGATGTCATATTGCTAATTACGTCACATTGTTTAATGAGTGTTTAACACTGCCACCGGGCTGGTGTGACGTTTCGTCACAGGTCACAGCCGCAGTGAGAGCCCGCGTCACGGCACGGTGGCCACGTGACGTGCGCCCGGCAGCCGCCGCAAATGAGACTGACGTAGTGGAGAGTCTGGCGAAATCAAAGCTATAAACCGACCCACTCGGCGCTAGGGGAGAGGAAGGTATACTCGTACATGGGGCTGATTTTATGAGACATGACTGTGACTACACAGCACACCCCGGCAGCAGTGCCGAATGTTTCCGCAGCGGTCAACCGGGCGAGCAGTCAAATGCTAACACATTCACTTCTAGTACAAGTCCAAGTAGAGTAATATATTCCTGCCCGGGGCCGGGATGATTCAATAAATGTCACCGAGGTTTTTTAGCGAAAACTCCGAGGGCCGTTAGGCCCGAGGTGATTTTGCTAAAAAAGCGAGGTGACATTTATTGAATTCCCGGCCTTAGGGCTGGAAGGTGTTTCCCATACCTGCCAAAAAGCTCGCAACTATATGATAGTGACGTCAGCAGCCGTGTGGTTCAACGTGTTTAACCACACCCCTTGAACCACACGGCTGGTAATATTAAAGCATTGCATTAAACTTTAAAAAGTGTGATACAGTGCACGTGCCGTTTAAATGCCTGGATGTCTCGATTTAATCATGCAATGTAGCAGGTATGGGAAAAAACACAAATGCCTACCTACTCAAGAGTAGTGCATGGTCATTTTTACACATGCATGTACCACTTGATTGCGAATGATCTTTTCGAAACGTCGCCGCAGCGAATCGTTCCTTGAACTTTGAACGTTTTGAGGCTGTGGTAGGTAATGTTTCTAGAGTCTACATAATGTCCGTGAACGAACCTCTCTCTCTCAGCTCATAGTTCTCTCTGTGTGTGTGTTTTTTTTTATTAAGAACATCGCTTAAAAGTGATGGAAACGCAATTGAGATCTTCCATTGTTCCTGTGTAATCGGCACTTGCTTAGCACCTATTAATTTACATATGATTTCAGCGTAGACGATTTGGTCAATGCTAACATTGTTCTGTGCTCAGGTTGTTTTATTTATCTATTTACGGACATAACGCATAGCACATGGACGCAAGAGACCCTTACAAAGTTAAGGTCCTTGCCAAACACGAATAAATTACACAAACACACACGGTTTTGACTTAGTAGGCGGGCTTGTAGGCTGGCTGGTAGGCGGGCGCGGGGTGCACCGGGTAGGCGGGCTTGTAGGCGGGCTGGTAGGCGGGCTTGTACTGCGGGTACTGGGCCTCGCCCTCGTAGGTGACCTCGGCGTTGTTGCCGTAGTCGTTGGCGACGTACTTGACGTGCTGGACGCGGCCGTCGGGCAGGTTGACCGAGTAGTAGCCCTCGACGTTGCCGTAGGCGTCAGCCTGCTCGTTCTGCGAGAAGACGGCGCCGTGGTAGTGGTCGTTGACGGCGTAGCCGAACTGGTAGGGCCTCGGCTCCGAGTAGTCGTCGTGGTGGCCGTAGCCCTTGGGCTTGTAGGCGGGCTTGTAGGCGGGCTGGTAGGCAGGCTGGTAGGCGGGGCGGTAGGCAGGCTGGTAGGCAGGCCGAGAGTCGGCGACAGCCACGGCCAGAAGAGCAGCAAAGACGAACAGCTGTGGGCAAAGAGAATGGTTAAGTGGGTCAAAATGCATGTCTTTTGGTATACTGTAGCACCTAACATTTCAAAGCATGGCTGTTCAGTATCGTATCATTTTATGCGCTCCAAGCACTACTGCTTACCTTCATGGTAGTTTCCTTTGAGCGTGTGAGAGGGCTGGTGCCGGGGCGGGTCGGCTGTGAGTGATATGACCGGCGCTGTGGCCGCAGCCTTTATACAGCTCACGAAGGTCGTCCCGGCCGCGAGGGGCGGCGCCCGTAGTAAGTACGGGGCCGCTCGTGCCGAGCCGTGCTGCTCCTTACCCCGCGACCGCCTGGGGGGGGGTCGGATCCGACCCCCCCTCCGTTTTTCTTGAATAACTCATGAACCACTTTCGCTATCTACTTGAAACTTGGCATACCTTCTCCCCTATCAATTTGACGTCTCCTGTGCAATTTTTAAGAAAAAATTTCCAAACATTTTTGAGATATATCGATTTTAGTGATGTAACTACATGGCGTTTTTAGTCAAAAAAGTGGTAAATGTTTAAAAAATCGCCAAAAATCAGGGTTTTAAGCAAATTGCAAATTAAGGACCAGAAAAGACGCAGCTCAACGAGTTCTTTAAAATGGCTATCTCGGATTTTCCATAAAATGCGTTTTTCACCCCTAAAAATTCAAAAAACTATATTTTTTTGGAAAACAGCTAATAAAATCCAAAATTTTGGGAATTTCCAAAAAACCGGAATATATGTTGTAGAGCTCTATTAGAACATTAGACGCCCCAAATTTCAACTTTCTATCTTGATTTTTGACCCCCAAATTGTAAACAATAGCTCCAACATGCATAGGGCATGGTGACGTCATAAGCATTTTCGTGAATTAGAGGCACTTCTGAACATCGCATGTGAAAACAAATGGCACCACTAGATTCCTGGGACAAAGCTCGTCTAGAAAAGTGCATTTTTATGTCAAAAATAAAAAGTTGAAAAATTGACCTTTTTTCTCAGCCCTCGTATAGTATGAACGATTTTTTATGCTTTCAATGCACACTTATCACCAGCACAGTGACTTGGGGTCACATATAACCATTACCATCGGATTCGGCGTGAAAAATAAGCCATAAAACATGTGTCGCACGCCCATGTAACAGAAATTGAAAACCGTGACCTTTCGTGACCTGACCTGACCTTGACCCGTACTTAGTATGACCCCTATACGCACATGGTACCTTCACTAGGCCTTTGAGGTCATTTTTGGTGAGTTTCGAGCAGCAGCTATCGATTCCGCTGTCCGTAAGCCTAATCATGCAAAACCCCTGAATTTGACCTTTGACCTGACCTTGACCCGAAAGTTGACCTCAATCTTAAAATCTTAAGAGTGCTTTGGGAAGGTCTCGTAGAGACCTTTCGAACGCCGCCTCGCGGGGCTCGATACGACCATTGGTTCTCGAGATAACAGGGGGGGGGGTCGGATCCGACCCCCCCCCCCAGGCTGTCGTGGGTACGGAAATAGCCCAGGCGGTGCCGGGTTACCGCTAACAGACCTACAGGGGCGGGGCGGGTCAGACAGGGCGGAAACGATACAAAGTCGGCAGTAGCCGCTACTGTTTGTTTCACTCCGTCTCGGAAATTTCATTTTGGTTCGACTCCGTGCATGAACTGTAAGCGATGCTTTTTCACTCTGGTGGCGTTCTTGGTCCGATGGTGGCTGTGCCTGTAACAAAAGTGATCACATTTTAGACGGCTCTCTTCCGGAGCAAGGCAACCAAAAAATGTCAGTGGGTTCACTTCATACCGGACCCTTAGGACTTAAGTGCCCATGCCAGGCTGAGCGAGCCTCACACCAGTCTGAGAGGGCTCAGGATGTTGTGACACTCGGTGTATGTACCCAGGTCGCCCGAGCCCCCATGACCACCGTAATGTCCCCAGCCTCCCCGACCAATGTATTTGAATAAGTCAGGCATACCGTAAGGTGGGGCTATTTGAGACAGTGGGGCTATTTGAGACAGTATTTAAGATTACTATAAAGTAAAAACCACTTAAAATTTATGCTTAATTTTTTGCTCAGGTGATTTACTGCTCGATTCCACACCTCCCTGAGCAAAAATATCACACAAAAATCAAGCGATCTTCATTTTATAAAGATTTTAAATACTGTCTCAAATAGCCCCACTGTCTCAAATAGCCCCACTTTACGGTAAGTAAATATCAGAATTGGCTGGCGTTGCGCACCACAGGTATATATGTAGAAAACCTGCGTAAAATACACGTACTCCAATAAAAAGCGTTTCTCTGGATTTCAGCCACGCACTGACGACTACGACTCCGACTCTGGTCAGAGCTGTCGTTCTGACCAACTCTGACTCCGACTCCGCATCCCTAGCTTCTATACATGCTAACCCCAATTTTCCTCAACTTTTCCTCCCTTTATGTTAATACGATTTTTCATCAGCACTGAATAGCATTTCACTCCTTTTTGTGGCTTTAAATCGCGATGTTTGAGGAAGGTGCTCAGTCGTCAATGACTCTTCATTTGTGATGAAGTGACGTCCAGATAGTTCTTTTCTCAGTTCTTGAAAGAGGTTGAGGTCAGATAGTGATAGTGAGGTCATGTATTCCACCTGCCAGGACGGTAAAGTGCAGATGGTGGCCCCTATAGTGAAAATTTAAGACATATTCCCATCTAAACCCTTTCTCAGACTTTTTTTGCACGGTGATGCTTATAGTGCTGCGGAGCTCGATTCGTGGCTCCGCAGGGCGACATACTTTTTCGATAGCTCCTATGCCCCTCTGTTGGATCCGCCTATGCTTCTGCTGCCTTTGTGATATCCTTACTGCCTCGATTTTTCCTTCGTCTCCGCCTGTGGTAGTAAAGGTCAGGTCTTTGACCTATGACGTCATAAGTGAACCTCTGCACGGTCTTCAGATGTCGCAACTTCGCAACGCCGTCACTGCCAGAGGAGATGTCACAGGGAAATGAAACTTGCAGGATCTAGTATCCATTATGAGTCTCACAACTTGTATATCTCGGATTTTTCCTAAAGGTCATATGAGGTCAGGTCATTTTCGTGACCTCACCATTATAAGTCAATGGGGAAAAATTCAAACTGCTATTCTGGCGCCGGGAACGATCTCCAACTATCTCAAGCACACAGAATCGTGATTTGATGCACTCCTTGCAAGGTTAGATGCGTCACTTTTGCAATGTTGACCTTGCGTTACGTCATTTATGACGTCATCAAGGTCATATTAGTTTTTCGTCAATAACTCTTGATCAAATTGAGCTAGCGAGTCGAGAAAGCCACCAATGGACTCAGGAAGACCTGCCAAATCGAATGATATGCGACATGACCTCTTTCGACCAACTTCGTGACCTGGGGTGCTGACCTGACCTTGACCTGAGGTCAACACCCCAACTTGACCTGACCCGGACAAAAAGTATATCATTCGACGCGCCTTAGCGAGGTGAACACGATGCTGCCAAAATCGCGGCTCTGCGACCGTTTTTTGCGAAGTTATTCACCAAAAACTGAACCGTACCCTGGGGCACTTGACCTGACCTCAGAGGTCACCGGTTGACCTAGGACCTTAAAATCGGGTACCAATCTCTGCGTCTCGTAACGGCGCACACGCTCGTTTTTTTCCGCGACGCGCTAGCTCCACCAGGGGCGAAACGGCGAGGGGGGTCGTACCCGCCCCCCCCCCCCTCGGCCGGCGCGTATGTAGAAAACCAATAGGTCCGGCGAGGGTTAATTCACGGTGATACAGTATAATGTTACGCCCTGTGGATCTGCTTCACTGGTAACCCGCGCACTTACAGAGGGGAGGGGGTCTAAGAGACCCTCTCATTTTTTCTGCGATTAACTTGCTCAAAAAGCGTCTAATAATAACGAAACAATCAGTACCCTCGTCCTTTGTGTGAATCAGTTTTACACCTACCCTGAAAATTTAGTGACCCAGACCCAAGTGACATATGAACTTAATCGAGAACGTGTCTGGCCGGAATCGTGATTAGGTATATGTTAGCGCACATTATCCGTGCGTTTGCAGTCTGGTTGTGGTTGTAAACGTTCCAACATGTGGAATGTATGCCCCATGCATTTATATAGTGGGTGTCTAGGTCACATGGAATTCAGGTCAAGGTCATTGACCTGAGTTGTTATTGGTTCACTTTTTTAGGTTTTGCATGTTTCTAGAGCAGTTTTGAAGATTTTAGCGCCCATTTGAACATTAACGAACTAATTTTGGCTCCCACGTAACATGTTATGAAGCTGTCAGAAGTAGTTGACACCTACTGTGGATATCCGGCAGGATGCCTATCCCAAACCGACCTATCCCAAATGCATGAATGCATCATTTTTGATCAAAACTAGCATGCAGTTCGTTATTAGGTCCAAAAAAAAAACCATAACAAAAGTGCTTTACAAAAAAAAAATCTAGCAGGTCCCGATTTGTCCGACTTTTGGGTCATTGGCCTGACCCTGGAAGGTCAACCAATGACCTTGGATCTTAAAATTGGATATCACTGGCTTCCTGTCGTTACGGGCAGCACGCTGGTTTTTCCGCAAAGCGGAAAATTGGCCCGATCAGGGGCCAACCGTCTAAGGTCTCACCCCCCCCCCCTATACGCTAGACGGTGTAAAAAGGTCAATACGGACGAAGGTTAATAGCTCAAAATTCCAGTGCAAGTTGTCCATTCTGTTCCTTTGGGTTCTGACTAAGAAGACGAGGCACCCAAGGAGTCAAACGATTCCTTGCAATCAATTATTCACGAATATTGGTGCTTATTACGAGCGAGCGAGCGCAGCGAGCGAAGTGAGTCTTTTCAATATAACGGAAAAATGTCAGTACGAGGGGGTATCGAAAAGTTCTGATCATCACCATGAATTAGATGTGACAGGAATTTGATTTTTTTACATGATGTTCATTACTCCTTCAAAAGTCACCACACATGACCGCTAACTTATTGCATCGTTTCTTGAGCTGCCTCAGGCGGTCATTGTAGGACATTCGCACTGTCCCGTAAATCACTGCTCCACCTCATCAATGACGTCATTTCTGTCCTTAAATCACCGGTCATACTGTGGATTCTTCATCTCCCGTAACAATCAAGAGTCAGTTAATACCCGGTCAGGTGAATTTGTTAGATGCGGTAGGATTTAATGTCCACATCATGCTGTTTCTTCAATCGCAGCTCAGGCCGAATGGGTGGGGGTGCTGTCGGTGAGGATAAAACACCTTTCTTGAGCTTTTTTGCGGCGATTCTGCTCGAGGCCATCTTGCAACTTCTTCAAAAGTGT